CAGTGTGACAAAAGCACAATGTTGTGTTTTATTGCGAGTATAGGCCTACACAAATATAAGTAAACACTTTGCAGACTGAATGATGTCCTGTATTAACAAAATGACGGAGTATGTTTTTATGTCTCCACTGTTCGATCGCGCCCGCGTGTCTCTCTCTCTCTCTCGCGCCTCTCTCTCTCGCGCGCGCGCGGAGTCGGACACACACACACACACACACACTCCAGCATTGAAATCTTGACATCGCAGCCTGTTCATTATGCTGTGTTCACATCAAACGCGAATAGAGCGAATTATCCAATAATGTTTCGCAACTCTAGCCTGCATGGCATGCAGATGAAGGGCACTCATTTTCTGCTTATCAATCGCCGGTTACTGAAGAGGAACCCAGCAGCACGAGACAACGATATGGCGCAACAAAACTGACACGTTACATGATTGCCTGAGCGTGTCACTCCCTACGTTGCTAGGTTACCAGAGAGCGCGTGCCTTTGATAATGCAACCAAACTTGCTTCGCAACCTGTGGTTTCTTCCGACGAAGAAAAAAAATATCGAACGTTTTATCGAACACATTTTTTATTGATATCGATCACGTGTCTATCGCGATACATATCGTTATCGTTTTATCGCCCAGCCCTAATCACAGGATTAAATTACATTTTATAATGTATTTACATGGGAAACAGTTATTTTAAATTAAAATATGTTTTGTAACAGTACTGTTTTTACTGTATTTCTTATCAAATAAATGCAGCCTTGGTGAGCATAAACATTCAGAAACATCTCACCGACCCCAAACGTTTGAACTAATGTAATTGAATGATTTAATTGAAATAATCAATCATTTAATTATTATTATATAATTATTAACAATAATTAATGATTTAATTTAATCAGTACATTCTGGCTGTTGTTTTGTAAATATTATAGTATTGTTATATAATTTGAATAATAATACAATTTTGGTAGCATTTTTGTCTCCAGTTTGAATAAATAATACTTGCAGCCTTGTTTATCTGGGCTTTGTTTTGCTCTGATTTGACTTTTGCTCTTTATTCGTCCATGCAGGTACCTTGTTGGTCAGAGACTTGTGAACTATGAACGAAAATCTGGCAAGGCCAGCACTACCACACACAGCAGTTCAGTGCAGGAGTAAAGAGCTTGGGATTGCTTTGGAGTCATGGTTTTGTGTGTGCGTGTAAGTGAGCGAGCATGTGTGAGCATGCGTGAACGACTGAATGAACCTTCCTGCTCCCTCTGCTTACCCGTGATGTGTGCGTCCATACAACCATCACGTCCACTAAGACTCTAAAAACTGACCTCTGGCCTCTCTGACTCTGCCAGCAAAAAAGGGGCGAAAGAGCCATGTACATAAATGGGGCGAAAGATGGAAACCCTACAGCCAACCAACCGTGGATTTAAAAAGAATGTCTCACTTCGAAAAGAAAACCCAGAAAGAAAAAAAAACAGATTAAGTATGTGTATTAATTTATTAAATCTTGTTGTTACCTTATTTGTGGAGATTTGTTTGTGGTAGGACTCGACCCACATGGTTCCTTTCATCAATCTCATGGAGAGGCCAGTCAGACTCCAGAGCTGAAATGTCTCTCGGACAAGCGTCTGGGTCATAATGGAGCTGGACTGTCACATTAGTACCTTCTTATTTATTAGTTTTGAATTTTCAATGAAATATGATCTTGAGGTTTTTGAATGAGTGGGGTCTCATTTGATTTGGTGCAATTGGCAGTGTGTCTTACCTTAATTTCTCGATGCTTTAACCTCCCTAGTTTTATGTGCGAAGCAGAAGTGGATGGAGGCGGTTACGCAACACCCATCCGCTTCCTGTCATGTGGAAAAGAGGGAATTTCGTTTCACCAACAGTTTGTGCACGACTGTTGTTCAAGAAGGCCGAAGCAGAGTCAGTATCTAGCAGACGAAGCATAGTTTGACGGTAGTGTTTATGGCTCACAGTGAGCCGCAAAGCCTACCTCTGCCTGCTAGCTCTTCGTTCAACTCTCAAAAAGCCTTTCGAGTAGCTTAGAAGACCGTTTAGAGTGCTAATTGCGTCAGTGGTTGAGCTAGCATATTTGTCTCCTGTTCAAGTTGATATCGACCGTTGTATGTCTGTCTTGTGCTCAGCATGGCCTAGCAACACTTTCTCATAGATGTAACTCTGGCACGTACACAGGTTGTTGCACTTTTTTTAAATTAATAAAGCATTTTTTTAAGAGCAGCAATAGTTCAGAAACCCTTTAGACCAACATTTTAAGTCCTTACTCTATAATTCATCAAACTGATCAGATTTCAGTCGAAACGTGTGGTTTATGATTCTTGCTTCGATTTGTTAGAAAAGAAGTCTTTTTCGTGTCTGTAGGTAAGGAGGAGATCCTCAACAACACATTTGTAAATAGTGTAACTTTTCAATTCTTTGTGTATGTTTTTCTCCATTTCAGATTTGCCGCGTCTGTTACAGGTTCACGATTCCCGAAGAATTTGTCTCAGATGGCTTTAGAGATAGTGTTAATCAGCGCTGAGATTCTATAAGTGACCTTATAGTATCTTCCTACACTGAAACTGGATACTGTATGCTTCTTGATAGCTTGCGCTCCTCTGAAAGGAAAATGTTCTATTTTTATATGTGCAACTAGTGACACCGTTTTCATGTTTGATCAGCCATTGATTTGATATCCTCTTTAAGTTTTCTGAGGTCAGCTAGAATCCAGGAAAAACACTGTCGTGTCTGGTTTACTAAGCCTTTTCATAGCATGTTTGTGTGAGAAGTATTCAGTATTTCTGAATGTTTTCAAACCTCCTGCTAGGAGGCTCTCGCTGTAACAATTACATTCTCATTTTCAGAATTTTTTTTTTTTGTTGTTGAAAACTTTTATTACAAATATTAAATCACAAAGTGTGGTACTCGCAGTGCTTTTGTGTCTTTAATCAAACTTGGAATCATTCACATACTTGATTTTTGAGATACTTATAATAATAATAGTGTCTGTTTATTACAAAGTGTGATATAAAGATGTTTATTGTACAAATGACTCAGTTAACCAGGTTTGATGTATAACAGTAATGGGGTTTGCAACATCTGGATTTATAAGACTGACTACTCACACAATGAGAACTGCATTTAAAGCTAACAAACTTGGTGGGTGTTTGTAATACATAAACAATGCAGGACAAGACCAGAAGTATTTCTGTGTTTGTAATATATTGAGACTTCTGATATGTCTAATGATACATTATTTCTATATGTGTCATAACCATTATTAGATGAGCATAATTTCTCATACATTCAGTACAAACTGTACACTTGTCCTGTCCTAGTCATCTGTAGAATAATGGCATCAACCTTGTTGTGAAACAATGGTGCATATAAGTAGATCAACAGATTATTCCTAAATACTCTTGGTTCATTTACCAGTGCTTTTACTTGCTATGGTTTCCCTTTATTGTACTAGGCTATTTTGTGTGATGTGGGCATTGACAGCGATGTCATATTATGTTGTTTGGCATGATGTACAGAACATTTTGTATTCCTAAATACACAGCAAAATAAAAGTAACCTTTTGTAAATACAAGTGACCAGTTAACAATCTGGACGCTCAATCAAAGTTCATAACCTTCAGCCTTAATATGCCTTGTGGGTCAGTCACATAATCTTTTACAGTCTACGGTTATGTAACAGATGTGTCATGTCTTGAGTTACAGAATGACCTGCTTTAATGCCACAATACAGAGCTGTTAAGTTGTAAAGGTCGTATGAATCCGTTTTGTTGTTGTAACTGAAACTACTAAACGTTTTCAGTAATTGAACTAAAGCTTAAATAAAATATAAACACTAGATGGAAAAAAATTCAGCTTAAAATATATAAGTTAAGTTTAGTTTAGTTTCCTGTGAAGAGATGACTTCAACTCATGCGAGGACTTCAGATGACGCAAACTTTGAATCAACATAAACCAATGCTAAATTTTCTATTATAATCACAACTTATTTGTGCCTTATTAGCCTACTTAAATTAGCTCATTGTTTCTGCCTTAAATTAATACATTGTTAGCTAACTGTATGATTGTATATGTACATTTCTGAAATACAAAACTTAGACACAGTCACCTCTGATAACAGATCGCTAAATTGTAATGTAGACACATGCATTGTCTGTAAAGCTGCTTTGAAATGATATGTATTGTGAAAAGCGCTATACAAATAAATGTGAATTGAATTCTCAGTTTAGCTGATAGCTGACATTATGAAATATAATTGGCCGTATCAGTTACCATATTACCTTTAGAAAATATTAGATCACGTGACCTTTGTGAAGATATTAAAGTGACATGAGCAGGTTTAGCTAGTAGATACATTTTCTGGGATAATTTACCCAAAACGGCCTGTGCTGTCACAAGAAATATCAATACAAAACATGCCTTAATACATCATCCTAAAGCCCAAAGCCCAAAAATGTTGCTGCCTTAAAGGGATACTCCACCCAAAAATGAAAATGCTGTCATCATTTACTCACCCTCAAGTTGGTGCAAACCTGTATGAGTTTCTTTCTTCTGCTGAACACAAAGGAAGATATTTTGAAGAACGCTTGGTACTTTGGCACCATTGACTTCCATAGTATTTTTTTTTTCTACTATGGAAGTCAATGGTGCCAAACAACCATTTGGTTCCAATCGTTCTTCAAAATATCTTCCTTTGTGTTCAGCAGAAGAAAGAAACTCATACAGGTTTATAACAACTTGAGGGTGAGTAAATGATGACAGCATTTTCATTTATGGGTGGAGTATCCCTTTAAACATCCAAGTTGATTGTACTTAAAAATGTAAGTAATTTCAACTTAAATTATAATAGACTGACTTAAGCAATTCTCAACTTTTTTGTTTTGTTATGCAAGATTCAACAAATTGTTTAACTTATTTGGATGAGTTAAAGCAATGCAAAAACATATGTTGTCATAACTTATTGATCATATAATTTTTAGTAGTTAGAAAACAGCAGTCTTAGTACAACCAAAAACATTGAAAGTGACGTGTTGTTGTGTTATTATTTTTTTAGAATGCAAATGAGAGAACAGCTTATCCACAACAAAATGTTATTTCTGCTGCATCCAATTAACCTTCCACTAATCCATCGAGGAGGCTTGTGCGGCCAACAGTTGATCACAGTCAAATATAGGCTATCAAAGTGTGGAAAGTCGCTCTGGATGTGCTTGCGAGTATCAAAGTCGGCTAAAAATAGAAGCGATAAGAGTAATAATGGTACACAGCAGGACTACTCGTATCCTGAAAGATATAAAAGTCCTCCTCACATTAACAGGCATCAGTTGTGTTAAGAACTGTTTTGTGTAACTGATGCAAATTTGTGTTGCATCAGTTGGAAAATGTACTGCATTTATTCCTCGGACAGTAAGATTACTGTTCAGCACATGCACACATGGAGGAGGGGGAGAGACAGTCAGAAAGAGACTAAGGCGATTAGGAGGCTTCTCTCGAAACAGTGCCCATGCATTTCCGATGGAAGTCCTTCATCCTCACTTTGAACTATTGGTGAATTCTCCAACAACAGTCAGATTGGTTCACAGAGCAAGTCAAGTGAGGAAAAATGGGATAGTTTTGGTGAAAAAAAACAAGCTTTGGTATGTATATTATAATCAGAAACTGGTTCTTGAAGAGCAGCAGATATGATATGGAAAAGATTATTCTAAAAGGTCTATGACTTCTGGTTCTTCATTTCTTGTGTCAATGACTGGAGTTTAGGATTGCCATTCATTATGTGACGGTCTCATTCTGGATCCTACAAGATTTTTGTTTTTGTGTTCCACCTGTCGGACAGTTAAATGGTGCTAATAACTGAGAATGGTGTTGCAGGAGGTGTACTTCCGGTCAAAGATCACCAATATGGCACCAGTGTCAACCAAGCAAGAGGCTGGAACAATGAGGAGTCCTCCATACAGAGCTCCACTATTGCGGAGCCAACAGAGGACTCTTATTATGCAGATGATGAAGACCACCATCTTTCTGATGATGATGATGATGATGACGACGACATCTACCAAGAATTTGAGGAGTTGGACTTTTCAAAACTACCGGATAGCAAGAGCATTTTGTCGGACGATTCCTTCTACCCACCTGATGATTCGCTCAACTTCGAAAAATGTCTGAGTCCTGAGAGCCCTGAGCCACTCAGCTTCTTCAAAGCATGCTGCACTAACAATGCCATCATTGTCAAAATCCTGATAAGACAAGGGGTGACGGAGGAGGAGGTGCGAGAGGTGGACAAAAATAACAGAGTAAGTCAGCTTTTGAATGTTTTAAAAGGGAAATGTGTCATATGCCACCAAACTGAATCACAGAAATTATTGTTTTAAAAACTTTCCCAAACACTCACATCCCCTATCATTGGTCGGACAAACAGAGGCCCGCCCCCAAACTCAAGCTATTGGTCGAATCAGTGTTGATGGTCGGGGTGCTCAAATTTTTTAAAAGCCTCTCAGTGTTTACACTTTTCTTGGGAAGTCAAGCTATACAAATGGCTTACTTATAGTTCTACAAAAATAAAACATTTGTGATTTAAATATTGTAGTGCTCTTTTGTTATATTCAATTTCACAAAGAAGACTGAGGATCAAACACCAGTTGTCACTGAATATTAAGACTCACATTTGTCTTTTAAGTGGTCTTAAGTTTAATTTTAGTCTTTTTCACTTTAGCAGCACAGGCAGTTGAGACATTCTCAGTTAAGAATTCAATTGCAGGAACATGCTCATGCAGTGTAAGAAAATCTCTATCATTACCATCCATGCTTTGATTGTTCTGAATAATGGAATAATGAACATATTACTTTCCAGGATCCATTCAGCTAAATCATGTGTTTAAAGAATGCCACTCTTGACTGGGAGACGGGCTTTCACTCCCCTTAGCCCTGAGAAGCTTACAATTATGACAATGTGGGTGATAACAGTGTCATGTTTATGCAAGGCTATTATCATATCAAAGAGTCTTTAAACATGCATGATCCACGCAGGGCTCCTCGGGGAATGAGCTCAGGCAGCTGTCTCCTTCATCCATAAATATCGATGCAGCGCAAAAGTGAGGCTGAGACTGTCATCCATGTATAACATTAAAGGCAGGATCTATAAGAAAAGAAATCTGGCTTGGATGGCAGCTGTAAGTAAAACATGTGCCTTCTTGACATGATGGAAATGCATTGAGTCTAAAAATATTAAATTGTAGTTAGGTTTTCACTGACATGACAACCACCATTTATTCGATGCATGTAAATAAATGGGTCATTATCAAGTCCAGGAGTTTAAAATGGGTGGCCAAGGGGCTACAAAGGTGCTAAGAGGTCCAAAAAGCACATATAGTAGCAAAATTACTAAAACGAAATGTAATAGTATATAAATAAAGCTAAAATAACACTTTTGTGTGTCCAAATGGGACAGAAAATGTTCACAAAAGATTCATGACATTTCTAAGTCAAATCTATGTCTTGACTTGATGTCCAGTTGTGTTGTGTCTGTGATCTACAGCTGAGATCTCATGGGTGCACCAGCCAGCTAAACCACAGATTGGAGTTTGAATTGCAGTCCGAGATGCAGCCCAAGCAGATCGTAATCATGACTGAGCTTTTTAAAGGCTCTCCAAGATGTCAAAATACTGCAGGGCTCTGCCTAGACAGTAGACAGGGATTTTTTTTCAGCTTGTCATATGAGCAGAGAAACCCTAATTTGTCCATTTAGCACAGACCTTACAATGTAAGTGTTATTCCACTCAAGGGAGTCTAGCTGCAGGCCATAAAAGTCTAAATTTGACTCTGCCACCTTGTCATGGTAAATTATATGTGAGAATTGAGATGACTCCCTTCCTCAGTGAATCATTTGAACTCAAATTGCATTGACTACTGCTAAACGTGTCGGTCTTCCTAAAAATAGAGCCTATAATAAATGAAGCATCACCTATTGCCCCCCTCTTTTGTGCTTCTGCTGCTACTGAGATCATATTGAAAAAGATACTCTTGTGCACTTTGCCATTTGGTACGAGCATTGAATTTGTTAATAAACATCTTATTTAACTATTCATCATTGCTGAATAGGACTGTATGCTTGGTCTGTGACTCACTCTTAACTTAGACAACACAGTTTGAAAACTCAATGTTCTGAACGCAAACAGAAACTACACATGCACAGAAACAAACGGTTACTCACACAGAGATAAAAAGGCTCTTGTTTTCCCCAAAGCAGCAGGCTGTGTGTGTGGCAGTTAAAGACACGCAGTCCTCCTTTAAGACTCTACGACCCATTTGCATGTAAATGTCTCTCAACTAACACAATCCCTGCTCATTTGTTTAATACAAATCTTATTCTACCACCATTAGCACAGGGGAAATTATGTGTAGCACAGTTAAACAGCACCATTAAGCGCTTATATTTAATGATCCTGTTTATCAATGCGTTGTGTTTTCACAGTGCTGAAAATGAAACATAAAAATATGAGATTTTAGGTTCAGGAAACCTGCTGACTGTGGGGATGCACATTTGATAGCTTAAAGTTTATATTTCACCTTAGAGTTTGTAATTCACCTTCACAGCTAAACTTCTGTTGATCCCAGGAGGGGGAGCTTTAGGAGGTTAGAGAGGCTTTTCTTCACAATCATCTTACGACAGCATGACATTTCCCATGTAAGACTGTGCTGTGTAACCTGATGTGATCCCTATGAAGTGTCATTAGGTAGAAATTGCTCATGCTATCTCATATGGCCGTTATAGCCTATTAATAACCTTTATATTAAGAGATCAATTTAAAATATATATATGTATTTGCTAAAGAGCCTTAATGGCGGCTAAGAGACCACTAGTCCTAAATTATATTTTAATTTAGCTGCATATATCGATTATATTAGCATTGATCATATTCAGTTTCTTGCTATTCTGGAATTAGCACCATAAATGCCAGCAGACAAGCGCTCTGAGCCCAGAGGGAACTTCATACTAAATCTTTGCTAATAGTCTTTATGGGGCTTACCATCTGCCTGTAGTGCTCTATAATCACTCAATCTGGAGACACAAAAGAAAAGGAAGATGCTTTGTACTGTTGTGAACTTTTTTTCTTCTAAAGTGTAGGAAACTTAGAAGCGAAGACCAGGAGACTTGGTGGTATCTTCAGCAGGATACTTTATTGAGAACAAAAGCTGCTGGTAGCCGCAGTCATCAAGTCAAGTCTGACTAAGGGAACGTTCCCTTGCAATATACATTTAGGGGTGGGGATTTACATTGTGATGAGACACTATTGAACAAAGCATGTAAATGAAGTATACAGGTTTAGAAACCTGCCCTAGACTGAGAGTGATACCAATCCTAATCCAATCAGCATAACTATTCAAACTGAGCCACAGGGCCCGGGCTCCCAGAGCCATTAAAGACAAGGAGTCTCAGTAATCTGATTCATTTAACTTACAATAGAGAGACCAGGACTGGCAGAATCTCTTGCTGGAAACTCTGATATAATCATCATTTATACCTCAAATGCTAAATTCAGTCTACTAAACTTTCTCAGTTTATATACTATTGTACTGGAACCTAAATTAAACATTTCATAAATTTTTAACACTACAGGTATTCAAGCAATGCCTCTGACCTCACGCATTTGTTTTTATTTCCTCGCAACCCTCACTCATCGGTGCCTTTGAAATTTGCTGAATTCTATTGAGATTTTACATATGCTGGAGCAGGTCTCCCCATGTCTGCACTGCATTTGTCTCTGTACAGTTTGTTATGCTTAATTGTTCGACATTACAAATAACAATTATTCTCCATTTACAGCATAACTGTTATTTAGTCTGAATGTGTACTTTTTTCAATCTTAAATATTTCTATTTAATAAGTTAGTTGTTTCTGAATATTAAGCAAGTCATTACCCAGAAGATTTCCAAGAAAAGTGTAAACACTGTGGCTTATGTGGTGCGTTCAAAACATTGCTTGTTTGATTGTTTGAGCAACACTTGCAAATTAGTTTATAGACTTTGGGTGAGGCTATCTGATGTCCAACCAATGGGAGATGAGGGGAAGGTTCAGAAAAAAAAAAATACACATTTCACCCTTAAATACCCATATAAATGCACAGTGGTGACATCCCAGTAATATTGACTGACCTAAATACAGTATAGGCTACACTTGCCAGTCTAATTATGCTTCTGCAAAACACCAATTGACACATTTACTCTAAAGATCAAGAGCTCATCAACCTCATAAATAAGACCACCAAACCCATGTGTCTCCTCCAAAGATGGATCTGGAAACTCACCCTGCAACAATCCCTGCCCTTAAATGAACTGCTATATAGCAGGGTTCAATGCCTCTGCAGTTTGCACGTTAAACACCTTCTTCTGCAGTAATGATGGACATTCAGGAAAATGACTGGAGATAACTCATTTTTCCTCTTCACTGCTTAACAGACAGGTCTGATAGTGGCGTGTTACCAGGGCTATGTGGATGTGGTCATTGCACTTTCTCAGTGTCCACATATTGACGTGAACTGGCAGGATAATGAAGGGAATACTGCTCTCATGACTGCTGCACAAGCAGGTAAGAGAAGTGACACCAATTCATCAAACACACTCACTTACACATTTTTGAGAATCTGAATGTCAGATAGTTGATGACATGGTAAGCAAGTTAGTGAATATTTTGAATAAAAAAGGAAAAACAATACAATTACGATCAATAACTCTCAGTATATCCCTGGGCCTTCATTTGACTTCTATAAAATCAACAGCAAATGTATTATCACTTACCTGTGAACAGAAGTAGCGAGAGATCCTTTCTTTATATGGCATAGGTTATCCAGTGAAACAGATTACTGAACAAAAAAATGGCATTTGGTTCACTTCAATTGTTGTTAATTGGATGGAGGCATATCTAAATGTGAGCTTGCAAGAAAGGGTCTAAATAGCTGCTTTCCCCCCGTGCGAACCAGGGCTAACAACGTGCCGGGTAGGGCCAATAGCCTCGGACCTCAAGCACCGAGCCCAAAATCAAGTTGCGCTTCCACTGTCCACAACCACACCATTTCAACAGCTTACTGAAAATAGAGAGACCTACTAGATCGCAAAATGAGCATGACAGAAGAGAATGTGTGGTCTTTACTTAAAGACATAAGATTCCAGCATCGTTCAGGCCGGCTGCAGGATGAAATGACTGAGGGGGCATGTGAAATTGTTAAGCTGGCTTAACTTTATACCATCAATGAACAATACACACTGAGTAGTGATGGGCGTATCGATACAAAGTCTGATTTCGATACTGATGTCGAGAATCGAAAGTATTGATACTCAAATAAAAATATCTATACTACAGGTTCTTTTTTTTTTACCAGTGATTTTGTTTACTTGACAAGAAATCTAATGCGTACAATATGCATATTGAATGCATATTGGATGAATAACCTATGTTAGTGAATAATTGTGTAATAGAACCACTTCCCTGCTTATCTGAACTGAACACACACAAATGCTGCAAGTCAGAACCAATCAATCATAGAGAGCAACAATGCATTCAAACCACTAATCTATTGTCATTATATAGATCAGTGATTCAAACAATGCTTAACAGAAGACAGAAAAATGTATATTTGAGCATGATTCTCTTTTCAGCCAGAGCAAGAGGGAACTCATGAGAAAACAGGAGTTATTAGTTATACGAGTTAACCGGAGGGCATGTTTTTTGAACATTCACTTGAAAAAGAAATGAAGATTTGTTCGTCTACACAGAACAAATGAAGCACCCTGTATAGGGACCAGAATATCATAAACTTGTTCTAGTAAGCAGACACCTATAGAAACCTCATTGAAGGACACGTTCAAAAATCGACTTTACATAAAGAGTATTAACCAGTTCTAACCATCTTAGTGGCTGTATTCTTGTAGCTCAAAATGTAGAGAATGTTGCTAGCAACATCAAGCTCATGGATTTGATTCCCAGGGAAGGCATGAAGTCATAATGTTGCTTTGGATAAAGGCATCTGCCAAATGCATAAACGTAAATGTATTCTATATCTTCTTCTGAATTATAGGCCACAGTATGATTACCAACTACCTGCTGAACTATTTTCCCGGGCTTGACACTGAACGCAGGAACTGCCATGGCTTCACTGCGATGATGAAAGCGGCCATTCAGGGTCGAGCCGAATGCGTGCGGTCTCTCATGATGACAGGTACAGTATCATCAGCTGAAAAATGTATATGAATTCCTAATTTAGTTCATGCATAATAATCTTCCATTTTGCTCCTTCATGTGGGCATTCATTTTCCCTTTGTCTGATGTTTTTCTTTATAAAGGAGGAGACATTGAAGCAAGGGACTTTGGCCGTAAGCAGACCCCACATGAATGGGCCACGTTCACGGGCCGCTACGAGACCGCCAAACTGATGTCCCGACTGATGGAACAGCCTTGTGCTGAACAGTTCTGTGACTCTTATCACATGGAGTGGCCTATGCTAAGCGAACTGGTGGCTCGATCAAAAGAGCCCAAGTCCTGCTTGAGGAAGTTCTCAGAGTGTGTCAGTAACTTGCTCTCCATCAGCATGAAGACCAACCCCGTAGAGGAAGGTGTCATGGACTATATGGTGCGCATGACCACGGCGCTGGCCAGCCCGCTCATAGCCACCGCCTGCCACACTGTGTGCCCGGGCAGCCCTCCGTGTGTTGGAAAACGCCGCCCTGCCGTACAGGACATCCTCCGCAGACAGCGTCTGGCTGAACTGAAGAACCTGGGGCCCGAGCGCCTCAACAACTACAAGCGGCTCTTCCAGAACTCCAGGGTCCTGCTGGTGCCGAAGAAGCAGGAGCGGCGCGCCAGTCTGCAGCCACAGTTACTGCAAAGTGTAGCGATGGCCTCCACCATGGCCCTGAGGAGAAGTAGCCTGCTGCCCCTACACTTGATGCGCAGAAGCAGTGTGCGTCCTGGAGTAGTGGTGCCTAAAGTCATGCTGTGTAAAGCTCCTGCCCCTGCATTCATACCGGAGCGTCCGCCTAGCAGGACTTCAAAAGACCCATTACACCTACAGATCCCTAAATGGAGGTACAAAGCTCTGAAGGAGGAGAAGAAGAAAGCTGAACAGATGAATAGGTTGAGATTGCCTATCGGGAGGAAAAAGTGATGTGGCTTTTGATGCCTTAGTGTTTTTTAAGGATGTTTTCCTCTGTGAAGGCTTGTGGTCTGTGAGAGGGTCAGCAGTACAAATCGTACACTCTAATCTTTTAGGCTAGCCTGACGTCGTCATTCTCAGATTCTAGTCAGAATGTGAGTCTGATACTGCTCCATTGGGCTGTGATTATGGGGCATGTTTCAACCGAACCAGGAAAGATAATGCCTCTGCACTCAATTGGATAGACCTACAACCAACCAGAGCAACGGACAAAATTCCAGCTTCCGAAAAGAAGCTGGCAACAACCGCTGGTTATGTCCACCTCGTCGTGCATGCCGAGTTGCATTGCCGTGATGGCCATTTCGGTTGCTTCTTTCACTTGGGCCTCCAATAGTGCGACCAAAGGAGAAACAACAATGACCACAGGGTTTTCATTGCGCCCCATCTTCTTAGCGACCATCGGAGCCAGCTGATAAATTAAACTTTTGCCGAATCCCGTAGGACGGCAAAAATATCTTTCCGATCAACAAATGCATTGATCGTGGTTCTCTGTTCCTCTTTTAAAATGAATGCGCTGTCTACATCTTCTATAACAGACGCGATGGCTGAATCTATACATCTGAATTCTCCAGCGGCAGCCATTCTTTGTTGTAAACGAATTCAACCCAAGCGCTCTTTGGTGAGGTGGATGATTACGTTACTGTTGATCATCTGTCCATCATCGTGTAAAGCCCGCCCTGACAATTTGATTGCTCCGAACAGCTTTGGTTCGGGCATACTTGCTTCACAACGGATCAAGTCCAGACCGAACTTCCCATCTTCAAATGTTGTGGGCGGGGCTAAGTTCGGCTGGCATCCAGGCTACTTTTAGGCTACCATGTACTTCACTCCTCAGTTCTATAATCTTTAGTCTGATCCGTTATTTTTAAGTGATAATTCTAATTTACAAAATCACCAAACATAATTAATGTGTAGTTTGTTTTCACTCATTATCTTTGTGCCATTTCATACTTGAAATTTGACGCACACTAATTTCTTTTTTTTATATATTGCTCTGAAAGACTGAATTTATGAAAGGGATTGAGTGTTAAATAAAGAAGCTGCTAAAACAATAAACAACATATTTATCAATGACGTTTATAACACCGAAATAATGCAATAGACCATAGTCAGGTTAGACGACATAGGCCTATTTAACGCAGATGAAAGCGAGGCTGTGAGGATAGGCCTACCTTTACAATGGCACGCGCTGTATTAAGGTCATAGATCAGGTAATTTGCAACTCGCACCTTTTAAAACTGTTTCATGTATAGTGTTTTTTTTTTCCCCGTAAAGACAAAATTCATTGTAAGCTGAACAATGTGGTGTAAAAAAAAAAAATCCATTGAATGCACTGTATTCTATCTCTCACCGACTAGTTTTCGTTCCTGTCAGTAAAAATGGCGCTACCCTGACTAGGTCGGCAGGTTATAATAATAATTATAACAATAATGATAAAATTTGAATTAAATCTACAAGATGCAGCTCCAGATTTTCAGTGAAGTATGCATTGCCTTGAGCATATTTTGCACTGCCGGTGACGGTGAGTGTTGCAAGTGGAGAGAGAGCCTTCAGTAGGCTTAAACTTAATCAGGTAAAGAACTACCTCAGATCAACAATGTCTCAGGAAAGACTAAATGGTCTGGCCATGCTGTCTATCGAACACGATTTTAAAAAGACGGCTTGATTTCAAAGATCTGATCAAAGTTTTTGCTGTGAGAAAAACACGTTGGTTAGCACTTGGGGAATAAGAAATTTCAAGTTGACAGCTTATTTTTTTTTATAAAACAGCTGCTTATAAGACATCCAGACAGAGTTTAAATAGTGTCTGTGTATGAGATGGAACAATGGTGTTGTACTGCAGTATGTAATTATTTGTATATAGTTATAAATGCATCATTTACTAATTTAATAAACTTTCAAATTTAGTTCTTTGTTGTCTCTTATTGAATATGCATTGATTGCTATGCTTATTGATAATTACTGTTGTTACATGTGGCAAAAAGATAAGATAATTGGGGGTTGGGGCCCGGATTACAAATTAGCCAGGGGCCCCAGAAAACATGGCGCCCCTGGAACTGGCCTATGTCTGTAAACCTGGAAAAGCTCTCTTCCCTTAATTTTTTTTTTTTTTCAGGGTTAGTCCAGTTCGTCTTACTTTGATTACACAGAACGCATTAAACAGATGTAGCGTCTTTTGTAAAAGTTGAACTTTTTAACAAGTCAAAACGCGTGCTGAGAACACATTACTTATGTTCAGAGCCAAAATACCTAATTCAGCGCCATGCCAGGTAGGAAAGCGAGGCTGTGAGGGGTAGACTTACCGTGTTTTCAATGGTGCCTGCTGTAAAAAAAAAAATAAAGAAAAGAGAAAAAAAGGTGTATAAAGCTCATAGATCAATAATAATTTTCCACAGCTCATGCATTGTCGAGTTTTTTTTATCTACTGAAATTTAATGGAAATATATTGTTGCTGTGTTTCGTCAGCAGAACATTTAAAATATGAAATAACAGTACAACCCACTGAAGAGATGTATGTCTATCCCTCACAGCATCACTTTCATTGCCGTTAAAAATAAAAGATGCCGCTGCTGTGAATAAGGTCTATGGATACCACACCCTAACCTTAACCTACCCTAACCAGCCACACCCTAACCGTACCCTATCCCTCCCTAAACCTAATTTAGGTTGGAAGTGAGCACCACTTGTGTTCAAACCGGGCGATGAATTAATTTGATAATGAAATTATTCAAAAGTAATGATAAAAGGTAAACTGTTTAAATAAATAAAAAACTGGGGGCATTTTCAGTTTGTAAAGAGAAACATATTTAAGTCAGCACAAATAGACAGTGCTAGAGAGAGCTAAGTAGTCACATATTGGTGAAGATTTGAAAGATAATGTTTGTTATCAGGTAATGTTTCCTTTAGACATGTCAGTGATAAAGATGTCAAACTATAGCGTTGAAATCCTTTAATAACAAAACAAAGCAGTCAAAGTTACAAGGGGTGCACCTGTAACAGCAATGCAGAGTGGCAGTAAACTTCCTATAGGGGTCAGTATTAGGCCTACATTCTAGTCAGTCAAGGTAAGGCTTCATGTTCTCAAAACACACAATCCAGACATTGAGAGCCATTTCAGCTCTCAAAATGCATTTCTTTAATATTCGTATCTAACGACACGTTCTTACACACTTACATTAGCAATCAAATGCAACACTCAGTTCACAGCATCACCACATTTTTATGCATCAAATTGAACTGTAGATGGATTAATACTCTATTACGCATAAGCATTGATGAAATTGAAATGAATGGACGTGAAGGGCTTGGTGTTTCAGAGCTGTAGGCATGAGATGTCGTTTAGCACCTGCCACACTTTTTTATACTGCAGACTGGTTCTCAGGACAAAGTGAGAAACACATACCCTGTCAATGTCAAAATGCCTCTCTGTGGGGAAAATGGTAATGAAACAGTCTTGATGAAACCCTAACAGGAGCTCGCAGCTTGCCCGCCTGGCCTCTGATAGCTATCTAGGAATTCTATCAAAAATACAATAAATTGAAAAGTCACGCCTGTACAAGGTAACAGAAATCTCTTGTGTGTTAGTGCTGATGTCTGGAACACAATAAATGCTGTTGACTAAATCAATAGCCTACAAAATACATGGAAATATCAGTGCTGTTAAAGTGTTGAAAGCATCATTCTAGATAAAAAGTGGTTTGGATGTAATACAAGTGTATTTTAAAACAAATCTGGCAATAAAGTGCATGCCAATGTCAGATCTGCCCTAAGAAAACCTCAATATAGGATAGAAATAACTCAGACACAGAACGAAATAAATCACAAAACAGTGATTCTCCATTAGTTTATATAGCAGTTGCAACCTGGCATTAAAAAGGTTCACAATTCTCTCAAACACTTTGTCTAGCAACAGAAAAAAAAAGTTTTACTTACATCTTCAATACAGGTTGTCTGATATGTCTACTTTTTCACAGATATTTTGCTTGTTCTCAGACGTTCACTATCGATGGTGCTGAAGATATGTGAGTTTGGGGATCATCGTCAATCCTTGCATCTGACAATTACCTCTAAGTGTAAATTGACATGAAGGGAAGACCAGGGCTTGCTTCATACCTTCCTTAAATCCGCCAGATTTGAAGTTTAAGGTTGGAAAAAATCACAAAAAAATTATAGGGTAGTGTCATTCTTTGTTCTCCATTCAGTCAATAGAGGAATGCTCACCCATCTTCTCCTGCAATAAGATGACCTGAGATTAGGTTTAGGAAATTACCTAAGAGAGAAAAAAAATGAAAATCAAGAGGCGTGTCTATACGCACAGCTCTCCTTCTAGATCAAAGCTATTCATTTTAGTGGCATCCATTTTACTAAGGACATGAAACATTCAAAAGGCATTAATAAAAGGTAGCAACATAGGCCCAAAAAATGTTAGAGCATTGTTTTAGCACCTTTTCAAGTCAATATTAGAAGCTTGCTCACATCTGCCCTTACTGAGCCCTGGTCTCACCTCTTTGAAACAGCAACAACATGACAACAGGAGGTCAACATCTGGTTAGAAATTAAGGTGAACAAAACCCTATGCTTTTTTTTTAACTAGCATTTTTTCCTTGCAATGTTTCTGCGTTATGTGACATCCACATCTGCACATAAAAAGTATATATATATTTTGTATTTATATAATATATATCCATATTCTATTGACAGATATGTCTACGATGAGCTTAAGAACCACTGATTTTTCTGGAAGAAAAAAAGCAGATTTTGCAAATGTCTATTTTACAACACAGAGTCAACTAATTGTACATCTTTGGAGGGGAAGTAGCTGTCAAAGACCGTGTTCCCTCCGTTTTTCGTTACAGTGTGAATGCTGTTGAAACACATAAAAAAAAAAGCATTTACAAACAGGCGTCGATAGAACCAGTGACTTGTCGTTAAATGTAACTTAAACGGCGGATCTACAGCACCCCTTGGGTCAGGGATTACCACATTTGGCACATAACTTAGCACAGATCACTCGACGGCTTGTGGAATGACCAGTCTTCATGTCAGTACAGTTGGGGAAAAAAGAAAACAGACTGACAGATAGGCCTGAAAACGTTCTTGTTATTGGTGGAAACCCTGTCCAGGCAGTGATGCTCGGTCGTCAGTTATTAGTAGTTTTCTCAGAAAAACGGAGAAAGAACACATTAGAGCAAACGACACCTCTGAATTATATGCTTTTCTTACCCATAGAACAGGACGCTGGAGTTCAGTGAGTGTATTTTCCTCTCTCTTTTAAAATACAGGAAAATAAAATGATATATTGAGCCACATGGGAGGACACAGTAGTCTTTGCGTAATATACACAATGCACCTTGTATCTACATATGTAATATACAACAAGTACTTTACACCAGACTTAAGAAGTTAAAAAGGAGGTACAAAAACAAGCAAATAATAAAAAGAAACAAAGTAAAATATACAAAGGCTAAGAGTGTAACCGAGCACTCCATAAAAGCATGGTTTAACATAAAGAAATGTCCCAAAAAATGTGTGAAAACTACTTCCTTAGCTTGTGTCGAATGTCGAGTTCTTGTGCTTCACGTAACTGTCCCATCTCTGCGCCACATACAGTATCTTCCACTTTCCCGTTTACATTTCGATTCCCTCCACTGCTTCGAAAAACACCAAAGTTCAAGTGGTCCCTTCGGTAAAACGCATTCCTTGAGCTCCTCTAAAATCCTCTCTCGTCAAGCACTTTCCTAACCTCGCTCACTGGCCGAGTGACGGCCCACTGTGGTGCGAGCAGTGAACCGAACTGAAGGTTTCGTGTGTGAGATGTCTACTAGTGTTCATGCACATGCTGGCCTGGTCTCTGTGTATGGTGTTCGTAGGCCAGCCTCCAGCCTTCCTCTGTGCCTCTACACCCACGAGTCTGGCGAGGCAGGGTAGTGGCTCGTCTCGTAGTTGAGTTCACTGTACGGGCGGGATGCCGAATAAAAGTCCACGTAGTTCCCCGTGGACTTCAGTCCCAGGTGCATGGTGCCGTCGGCTGCAGGTTGGGGGCGTTTATGCGCTTGGTCCTCGTAGTACGGCTCCTCGAAGTTGGCTCCTGGGGGAGTCTGGAAGGGAGGGTAGGCCTCTGGAGGGTTGCCTTGAGCGGAGACCTGACGGAAATAATAAGTGACATAAATGTGTTATGCGGTAGTTCAGAAACTAAGAATCAGATTTACAATTCAAATCAAGAACATTCCTCGCTTCTGTGTAATAAAGTTAAAAAGCAACAAATTTGTGTTATATAAAAGTTGCTTCATCTAAACCAGTGTTTCCCAACATTCTTTTTTGTGTCTTCGGTACCCCCACAGTGCAATCAAAAAGACTCGAGTACTTCATCCACACCAAAAAGGAACTGAAAAAATCATATTAGCTGGCTATATATAGATCTATTTTATTTTAATATTATTATATAGTAATTAAAACATATATATATATATATATTCTGACTGAGTGAGTGAGTACATTGTCTGTTGTTGTTTTTATCCCCTTTTTGACATGAAAATATCAGTAAAAAATTACAATAAGGTTCTGTTTCTTGACATTCTTTAACTACATATTAGTTAACTAACGTTAATACATTAACTAACGTTAAGTAATGAGACCTTATTGTAAAGGGTTATCAAAATATCAGTATGAGCTACACATTACTACAACGCTGTGTGATCTGTGGTGACCTCACCTGGTTATGTTTGATGTCATCACCAGGAGACATGTAAGCACCTCTGAACAGTGTAGATGTTCCACTTGAGATTTGAGCTGCGGAGACAGTGAATTATAAAGATTCTCAGAGGACTGGCAGGTACTTTGACTTGTTCTACAGGTACAGCAAACGTCTGCCTGAAACAGGTGAGCAGATATATGAATTGCAGTTCATGACTTTTGTTAAGGTAAAGGACTTTACACCAAGATGCAAGGGCGAGATATCACACATCTTTCTGTGAAATAAAAGTGTTACACTGTTACTGATACTGTACTTATTACAGCACTCAGGTGTAATTCATTGCCTTCGTTTATGGTATATTTGATGGTTTGCCTGAAAATAATTGTCGACTCAGTCAGTCATTTGATGAAAGCTTTAAACTCCCGTTGGAGGACTCCGAACTACGGCCTTACCTGCCATCGCATCTTTTCTGGAGGTGTGCTCGCCCTTGTTTCCATGGTAACCAGAATTAGTTCCAGTTGTCTCATAGTCTATCTTCCTCTCCTTCAAGCTCATCATTTCTCGAGGGGAGGTGGGGGCACTTGCTAAAAAAGACGGCAAGTCAACCAATAATGAGTGAGGGGGGAAAACAGCCTGTTTGTCTTGACGCATTTAAAAGTACAATAAGATCTCATTCCATCAAGGGATCTTTTATTTTACATAAAAAACTCATTTACTGTAATGAAGTAATTCTCTTGTTGCCTTTTGAGGCAAACAAGTGCCAGTGCTCTCCTCCTAATTGCTAAATGGAATTGGTCAGGTAATTGATTTGTTTTTGTCTGGGCTTCTTACTTGTTCCTTCGGCAATCATTTATTTCACCTTTCTAGTCACTTTTGTGTTTAGGAAAGCTTTCTGTCAGGAGATGTGATTTATAGAAGGTAAGACTTAATAAAAAAACACTTTATAAAAGGGATTATCTTAAAATATTATATGAACTTATACCGCATTCAAAGGGAAAACACGAAATCACAGCCATATCTTAGTATAAACCTTAAGTAATATTGACAAACTATATATCATTTGAAAGCTTACAATCTCTAGTTTCCATATTTGGTGACTGATTATCAGAATAAATTACAGAGGTGCTGTAATTACAGAATTTATCAATTTGCAACAAGAATATTTTCATACTCCTAAGGCGTGTTCAGACCTTTATTTTGAAATAGCAATGAACATGAAAAATCATGAAAAAATGGTAGAAACCTCAGTTTGTTTTCATGCCAAGAGTTCAAAAGATAGCATCCATTCAATTATATTAGAAAAAAAGGTCTGAAAATTTTTTTATATAAAGAAAAAAATAATAAATTCACCATTTGTGATGTGTACTGCGCCCAAACAAAGTTACTGAAAGCTAATTTTTTGAGATATCAACCTAACATTTTAAACACAACTTGTTCAGTTTTTTGGCTTTGATTTTTCTGCAGTTTTAGAGTAGCCCAGGTTTTGAAAATATACGGTATATTTTATATAAAATATGATTTTTTTTTTTACATTGTACATTTCCATAAACTCAAACTGATATAACTTTTTTCTGTTTCACTTTCTTAATTTATTTCACTTCTACAAAAATCTGCCAAATGTCTTCTTTAAAACAAGACCAATCTTATGTCTATATTCCAAAGCATTCTTGAATTACAACCATTTAAGTTCGAAATGTACATTTTCATGTCTATTCAAAAAAAGGGGGGTGACACTTAACAGGTTAATGACATTGAATTATATGATGTTTTATATTCTAATTATATACATTTGTTGCAGAGGAAATGTGACAACACAAAATACAACATAGCTGCTGTAATTTCAGTAAACAGTTTTATAATTCACCCAATAAATACTGAGATGGTTCTCTTACGAGAGGTTCTCTCGTATTGCGTAAGCTAGCTTACGCTGCGGGAAAGATTCATCTTTGCTGAGATATTGAAGCCAAAAAATTATTTCATAATTTGTATCCATACACAACGCAGTTCCTCTGCGGCAGACCTAGAGCAGGCTAGCTAGCAGCTCATTGGTTCGCTCAGAGAGAACTGCTTAAGCCTATGGGAGAGCGGGGCTGAACCCGCTTCCAATGAGAGGCGCCCGCGCGCTCATTGCGTCATAGCCCGCCAGAATGGGCGTGGCTATGGTGTATATAACAGTCTCTCCCAGGCTTATATGTTGATTCATTTCATCTTCAGCAAGCTGCACGCTTCTGCTGTCCTGAGAAAAGCCGTCGCCGTCGCCGTCGAGAAGGCATCACTCTAGCGAGCTCCCGGACCCTGAAGAAGCCGGCCGTCTTCGCCACCTTCAGCCGCCCTGCTAGCTAGCGCCATCCGACGACTGTATCCTTCTCTTTTCTCTATTTATATCTAAAAGAGCCGAGCGTCTTTTTAAAGATGTCTCGTTTTTCCTGCGGCTCTTGCCGCGCTCGTCTCGAGGACGGAGACCGCCATGTCATCTGCGCTCTCTGCCTGGGACTCGAGCACGCAGAACTCGCCCTCGCGGATGGAGGATGCGACTTCTGTGAGAGCCTGCCGTTGTCGTCCCTGCGGGCACGACTTCTGGCAGCAAAATCCGCTCCCGCGCCGCCTTCCTCTTCGCCGCGTAAGAAGAAACGCCGCTCCCAGAGGCCGCCGGAGCCCCCAGCGGAACCATGCGGGCCGCCGCTTCCCGCTTCCCGCTCTCCCTCCCCGCCCCTGCCGGACATACAGTTGCCGCCGAGTGGCCGCTCTGTCGCTTCCGATGACGCCGCGGAGGAGAAGGACTCATGTTCACTGCTCGCATCAGACAGTGAAGATTGGTCATCTCTCAGATCCACGAGAGAGTCGGCGGGGATCCGCGCCGGGATAGAGGAGGAACTAATGCGCCTCCTCTCACAGGCCGTCAAACGCCTCGGTCTCGAGTGGTCTCCTCCACCCGAGCAGGCCCCGAACCGGATGGACGGCAGCTTTTTTCATCGGCGCTCGTCCCCCGCGTGTAACCGGGCCGCCCCATTCCTGCCTGAACTTCACACAGAGCTGACGAAGTCCTGGAATGCCCCGCTCTCGGCTAGAAACCGCTCCGATATATCCGCCTCGCTGCGCTCGGTGGACGGAGCCGCCGAAAAAGGTTACTCAGCCATGCCGCCCGTCGAGGACTTGGTCGCCGCACACCTCTGCCCGCCCTCTGCTAGATGGCGCTCTTCCCCCACGCTTCCTTCGAAAGCTTGCAGAGCGACCTCGAGCTTTCATGCTCGCGCCTACGCCGCCGCCGGTCAGGCCGCCGCAGCGCTGCATTCTATGTCTGTCCTCCAAGTATTACAGAGCGATATTCTCCGTGAGTGGGCCGAAAGCGGTAGAAACCCCTCCCCCGCTGTCACGGATCTGAGAAGTGCTACGGACCTCGCCCTTCGCGCCACTAAAGCCGCCGCACAAGCTCTGGGGAGATGCATGGCCAGCCTTTGTGTTGCCGAGAGACACTTATGGCTCACGCTCGCCGACATGGGAGATTCTGAGCGCGCCGCGTTTCTTAACGCGCCCCTCTCCCCGACGGGCCTTTTTGGATCTGCTGTCACGGGAATCGTCGATCGCTTTTCTGAGGTCCAGAAAGCTACTCAGGCGATGAATTTGTTTCTGCCCCACCGCGCTAGCTCTTCCGCGGGCCGCTCTCGCAAGCTTCCTGCCAGAGCTCCACCACAGCGCCCCCCTCCGCAGACTCAAACAGCCCAGCGCAGACAGGGCGGCCGCCCTCGCTCTCGCTTTGACAGCCGCCGTAGACCGCCGCCCCCTCGAGGCCCGTGACCTAAGATCACGCTGAAGCCTGATCATCAGAAGTCTGCCTAGCAAAGTCAAGAAAACGACGGTGCTCTCCCGCTGCGGCCGGACCGCCGTCAAAGCTTCGCCCTCTGCCAGTCCCCGTTATTTCGCCGACTGCTGTAGTGTTGACCGCCACAAACAAGCCGGTGTCCCAGCCCGCTTGCGAGCGACAAAAAGCCGTTTTTACGGCTACCCAGAGAAATCTCAAAAAGAGAAAATTTGCCAGTTGTGTAGAAAATGTGCCCACAATCATGTGCTCACCCATACACACAAGCATAACATATCCCGTGTCTCTATCAGAGCCCCATCACATGAAACGGGCACAGCCCGCTCTAATATCAGAGAACATAAACACGCCCACGAGCTCGTGCGCGTGTCCCCTTTCTGCTCGCTCTGTTTCACGGCCCATAGACTCCTCTCTGAGTGCAAATCCCGTTGCCACACACATTCAAAGCGCGCCCACACACTGTGTCCAGCCCGCTATGTGCAGCAATCAGAGCGATATAGCCATTCGGCCACTAGCCGCATGCTCCAAAGCGTGGGAAGCCATTCTAGGCATTTCCCCGTGGGTACTAAGCATTATAAAGAACGGCTATCTGCTACAGTTTCGCCGCCGCCCGCCTCGTGCGCGCGCGCGGCTCGAATCTACTGTCAGCCCGCTGGCCGCCGGCACGCTCCGCTCAGAAATTGCGACGCTGTTGCAAAAGGGCGCCATAGAGAGAGTCCCACCATCTATGACCGAGTCGGGGGTTTTACGGCCGTTATTTTCTGGTTCCCAAGAAAAAAGGCGGCCTCAGACCGATTTTAGATCTCAGGTCTTTGAACAAAGTGCTCATGAAGAGACCGTTCAAGATGCTCACTACCAGGAAACTCCTCGCGCAGGTGCGCCAGGGGGACTGGTTCATCTCTCTAGACCTGAAAGACGCCTATTTTCAGATCCAGATAAATCCCCGTCACAGGCCATTCTTACGTTTCGCCTTCGAGGGTCATGTTAATCAATACGCCGTTCTCCCGTTCGGCTTATCCCTGGCGCCCCGCACATTTACGAAGTGCATGGATACGGCGCTCGCCCCCCCTGCGGAGCCAGGGGCTGCGCATATTGAATTATCTGGACGACTGGCTGATTTTGGCCCAATCACAGACGGAGCTTCTGTCGCACCGCGCAGTTCTCCTCGACCATCTGAAAACGCTGGGCCTCTCTGTCAACTGGACAAAGAGCTCCCTTCAACCCAGTCAATCGATTTCCTTTCTAGGAATAGATTTGAACTCGGTCACGATGACGGCTCGCCTGTCTACACAGCGCGCGCAGTGTACAGCGACTGGCCGCCTCGTTTCAGATGGGCACCCGCTCACCTCTGAAAAATTTTCAGAGGATGCTGGGTTACATGGCCTCAGCCTCCGCTGTGCTTCAGCTGGGCCTTCTGCACATGCGTCCGCTTCAGCTTTGGTTAAACAGCCGTGTACCCCACCGCGCGTGGAACACGGGCCGCCAGCTGATCAGAGTTACGCAGACATGTCTCACGGCGCTGCAGCCATGGACAGTAGCAGAATGGTTTCGACAGGGCGTCACGATGGGGACCTTTTCCCGCCGAAAAGTCATCTCGACAGATGCATCCAACACGGGTTGGGGTGCAGTCTGCGAGGGCTCACCGGCCTTCGGCCATTGGTCGACACAGGAAAGCCCCTTACACATAAACTGTCTGGAAATGCTTGCGGTCGGGAACGCGCTTTCGCGCTTCCTCCCGCTCATTCGGGGACACCACGTCCTGATCCGTTCGGACAACATGGCTGTGGTCTCCTATCTCAACCGTCAGGGCGGTGTCAGGTCCAGGAATCTCTTCCTACTGACACACCGCATTTTAGTTTGGTCTCAGAGCCGCCTGCTCTCGCTCAGAGCGACGCATGTGCCGGGCCATCTGAACGACGGTCCAGACATACTGTCCAGGAACCTCATCTCCTCAGGAGAATGGTCCCTGAACACACAAACGGTCCAAATACTGTGGCGGCTATTCGGCAGAGCAGAGGTGGACCTCTTCGCGTCAGAAGAGAACGCTCACTGCCCAATATTTTTCTCAAGGAGCGGCTCTGTCCTCAGTAAAACGCGTGGGGGATCTTCACGCGCTCTCATCCAGCGCTGCGTGTCTCGAGTTTGGCCCGAATGATTCTGTTGTCATTCTCAAACCTAGACATGGCTATGTCCCGAAGGCGATTGGTACCCCGTTCAGGGCTCAGATTATTTCCCTATCGGCTCTGCCTTCATCCGATAGTGAGCGCGACGCCAATCTCCTCTGCCCGGTGCGGGCTCTGAGATTGTACACTACGCGCGCTGCCGCGTTCAGACGCGCTGAGCAGCTTTTCGTGTCGTTTGGGGGGCGCACCAAAGGTCTGGCCGCCTCTAAACAGACACTGTCTAGATGGATAGTAGACGCTATCGCCTCTGCTTACGCATCTAAATGCCTGCCCTGCCCTCTGGGCATCAGGGCGCACTCCACTAGAGGCATGGCCTCATCGTGGGCATGGTCCTGTGGAATTTCCATTCATGACATTTGTGTGGCCGCGGGATGGGCCTCCCCGTCCACTTTTGTCAGATTTTACAACTTGGAAGTTCCCGCCTTGCAGGCAAAATTACTAGCTGTCTAACGACCAGCTCCCTAAGAAGCTGCATTACTGGGAGTCCCTCACACAACCGGTTCGCCCCTTGTGCTCTCCTTAAATGCTTATACACTTCATGTGCCCGCTCTGCCGGCCTCATATTACATTCACTCCACGTTAAAAATCCCCCGGTATCACCCTGGGATTCATGAGTGGATTCATAGCGCGCACGGCGTTGACCAGGTGTTCCCGCAGCGTAAGCTAGCTTACGCAATACGAGAGAACCTCTCGTAAGAGAACGAATCGGTTACCTAACGTAACCTCGGTTCTCTCTAGAAGAGGGAACGAGTATTGCGTTCCCGGCCGTGCTTGCGCTACTAGCGTTTCGCTTCACGCTGAAATAAATCAACATATAAGCCTGGGAGAGACTGTTATATACACCATAGCCACGCCCATTCTGGCGGGCTATGACGCAATGAGCGCGCGGGCGCCTCTCATTGGAAGCGGGTTCAGCCCCGCTCTCCCATAGGCTTAAGCAGTTCTCTCTGAGCGAACCAATGAGCTGCTAGCTAGCCTGCTCTAGGTCTGCCGCAGAGGAACTGCGTTGTGTATGGATACAAATTATGAAATAATTTTTTGGCTTCAATATCTCAGCAAAGATGAATCTTTCCCGCAGCGTAAGCTAGCTTACGCAATACTCGTTCCCTCTTCTAGAGAGAACCGAGGTTACGTTAGGTAACCGATTCGTTTTTCACTATTTATTATTTTCTTTTTTTAATTGTAACAATTAGTATTTTTGTGATGGTTTTTTCATTTAGTTTTGAAGTCGGGCAAGGGTAAAACAATAACGTTTATACATAAAAGGCTTTTGAAAATAATCAAAAATGAATAATAATAAAAAGTTTCTAGAGTTTTAATGTGACTTTCATAAAGAATAACAAAAAGTCAAATGAAATCTGTTAAGTCTTAATAAAACCCTTGGAATATACAATTGCTCACAGATGAAGAAACCACCCAATAATGTCCTCAGCTATTAAAAGAAAAGATTCTTTTACAACAAAAGTATTTCATTATTTCAGAAAAAAAGTTACTTATGTGCCATTATCTATTTAATTATTTGGATGTTAATGAATCGGCCCCTCGAGGACAGATTCTGTGCTCTTGCTCTTTTCAGCATGATTTGTCAGTCGGGACACAGTCTACTCCTCTGGATGGCCATCTTACTTGCAAATGTACTGATTTTCAGTTCCCTGACAATTACAACTTGCACAATTTAAAAGGTGTGAGATTCTCATTTGGGATAGTTCCCCACCACACCCTCCCCAGCATTGGGAGAATAAATATGCCCCCTCTTTGTTTTTCCCATGATATGTGAGGACATTATAAGCACTTAATATTCAGGTTGCCCTGAATAAACATAATGAACATCATAAATAAAGGTTTCTCACAGACTGGAGATGACATAGCACTATTAAACTAAAAATTAGTGCAAATGAAGAATCTACTAAATAATCTTTGATATCTGAAACAACTAGAGAACAGACAGTGCCTGCTAAACAAAGCATGTTAATTTAGCAGAACAGACTCTTCTGTAGCACTGTGTAATTAGGATACACATGGCGCCCTGACAGACAGTACTGCATTCTCCTTCCTGCCATCAGTTGGAAATAGAAGAATATCAGGATGTACCCTGATTATGACAGATCTGTTCCCTCTATGATCACATAACGGCATGGCCACATTTTTTATTGTCCTGTTAATGTACTACTTTGGGATTAGTCATTATGATTGACTAGTTGACTAAGGCCTTGTCCACACTAATATGTTTTCGCTTGAAAGCGCGTCTTTTTCTCTGCATTTTGTTTTTGTCCTGCGGTGCTTTTTGAAAATGTTTCCCAAGTTTTGAAACGCTAGTGTGAACGGAGAGCGTTTTAAAACGAAAATGGCGTTTTCAAATGTATCCGGATTAATGTAGCTTAGCCTAATTCTCCAACAAATGACTAGTTGATTAGTGAGGTCAACTTGTTTTAGATGCTTTACTTAGTGTGCTCTCTGACAAATTTCGTGCCATTTTTGAGCACCTTGAGCATTGTGGTTAGTTAATAGTTCCGTGTATCTCGATTGTTCCATCCTGATGCACACTGTCCACCTGACACCATTCTATTATACAAACTGATGAGTTGACTAGGTGTTCATGCAACACCCTGGCTATGCAACCAACTGATTTTGAAAATAAGTAGTTTTGATCATCTCAAGTACTTTTTTTATTCCTCTAATCTACTCCCGACAAGGAGATAAAGTCTCCTTGATAAATCAATGATATCACTTGTTGTCAAAATGGAGAAAAGTGGAGCGTCTCTCACCTGATCGATTATTGGGTGAAGTCCGCACAGGAGAGATAGATGGGGTGCGAGAGGAGGAATAGGGTCGTTGTCTGTCTCTCTCAATTGTAGATGAAGAGCCAATGAAGTGATACTGAGAATAGCCATCCTGTCATAAAAATAAGAAGAACATGATCATTGATTCATCCTGAAGCAACACTCATCAAAACCTCCTGGTTTCAAGTATATGACAGACACAGATGGAAAACAAAAAAATAAAACAGATTTTCATCCATTTGTCATGCATATTTTCATGCAAAATTTAATTCCTTTAAAATAATTTAGATAAACCAAGTGGTCAGAATGTGCCAGTTGGCGCCTGCTGGTAGATGCTATAGCTACACCATTCGGCAGCAAAAAGCCTCTCTCTCCTCTGATGCCAATTCAAAAGTAACCCTAACTCTAACCCTAACCCTAGGTGCAAATGTAATAGATGTGAGAACAGTGAGGTCTTCAGAATTCATTACCTTCTTATAGAGGCTTCGCAAATCTCTGTACTGCCACATGCTGTTGAGGACTTGAGAAGCTGCTTTCACCACCTTCGGTGTGTGTCTGCAGGGAAACAGAAGAGAAAATGGATACAATACATAGCCTTATCTGCAATAGTTATAAAAAAAAGTACATTCTCAGCAATATAAACAAACAGTGTATTCATCTGCTGGCTAGACATAGGTTATAAATATCTCAGTGAAAATATGTTTTAGTTCAGATCAATTTGTGCAAAGATTTCTCTACTGAGCAGTGTAGCTACTTCAAAGGCACAAAAACTCTCTCAAAAATGAGAATGATAAACACAATAACATCTAAAGTAAATGCTAAGGAGATTCATTTAAATTACATTATTGTAACCAAACACTTTTGGGTCTGTAAGACTTTTGAAAGAAGTCTCTTTATGTTTTTGAAAGAAGTTTTTCAAAACTGTTTTCTATTTTAATATATTTTTAAATAGTCTTGTGATGACAAAGCTGAATTTTCAGTCTTCAGTGTCACACAATCCTTCAGAAATCATTCTAATATGCTGATTTGGTGCTCAAAAAATGTCTTATTATTAGTAATGTTGAAAACAGCTGTGCTACTTAATATGTACGTGAAAACCATGTTACATTCTTTCAGAATTCTTGTTCAAAAGAATTCTTGTTTATTTGAAATGGAAATCTTTTTGTAACATTAGAAATGTATTAACTGTCACTTTTGATCACTTTAAAACATCCTTTCTGAATAAAAGTATTCATTTATTTAAAAAAAAAATCTTTTGAACGGCATTGAATGTTAACTATAAGAACTAAAAGGAAACATTATCTTGTAATGCACTTTCAGAGTAAACTGATCCAGTACAATAGCTCACAAAACCCAATAGAGTTACTGGACTTCCATCTATACTAATATCTCCTGAGAGGAGGCTTGGCTTCCTTCAAGGCAAGTGCTGTTTTTCACACTGTCACAAGTTTTCATTTTTCATAATAAACAATCCAGTCCAGCATGTCCTCTTCCTTTATCAACAAATTTTCTGTCCATTTAAATATGCCTAATTCTGTAGGATATAATAGGGTAAAATCTGATTTTGTCTATTGATCATGATAATTTTACAGAGCACCAAGATACTAACTTGTCTCCTTTGCTGCGGGCAATGCCGATGAGTTTCTCAATGCCGCCGGCGTCACGAAGGGCCTTGGTGTTCTCCATGTTCTTCGTGATGACTTCATGCAGAGCGCAGCAGATCGCCGTAATGGTGTCATCAGACATGCTCTTGCTGGAGCCGGTGCCGGTGCTGTTGTTATTGTTGCCGCCCGGTAGCCGATGGACCAGATCCCTCATGGCATACTTGCCTTGGGTTGCGTGGATGAGATGAACAGAAAAGAAAAGTCAGAGAGGAGGTGTGACAACCAGAGGCCTTTTCAGAGATGCAGATTTTGGATTCAGATTCTACCGTGGGCATGCAAAGCTCTTTTTAAATGTGCTGAACCTCAAGGCTGTAACTACTGCAGCATTGGAAATGCCAAAGCGTCCGATATACCCAGCAGCTCGCTTACACTTAATGTGACCGCGAAATACCCATTCCCACTGGGAAGCTAATTCTCTCTGCAACAACCTGCGCTACAAAACTGCTTTCAACTGGTATGCATTGAAGTTACATGAAAGAAAGGTTTCCATGTGCACTTGCAGCTTTGCCCGCTTCATTACTGATCTCCTTAAATAATGGAGGACATTTGAACAGCTCTATCCGCAAAGAACCCGCAGTATTCTGAGGGTGCCGGCGTCTCGACATTTGTACATTTTACGCCGTTCCTCTTGCCCTATATTCCAAAAGAGATGCACACGCCTTCGAACTCACGCAGGGCCGAGACCAGACTGAATGAGCCAGGCGGTTGCCATGGAGACACGGGGGCCCATCAGAATACACAAACTATTAAAAAGATCAATAGTCTGTTAGTGTCGTGAGCAGCCTTTCAAACAATGCCACCTCGTCTCACTGCAATACCTGACTAGAAATGCTACACTGATACACACATAACAAATACACACACTTACACACAAAAAGAAATAGATCTTGAAAGGCCTCTGCCTTAAAAGTAATTTAGGGGTACACGTACCTCTGCTGCATTCGGCTCTGCTGAAGTCAAAGAGAAAATGTTAGCTTGAGGCAAATACACTTCCATGTCCCGAACCTACCTATGAGCTCCTTGTTCCTGACATCAAGGGCCATGTTTCGGAGAGCTGTGGCCACAGCACACACCACCCGGTCATTGTCTATTCTCAGCAACTCCACCAGAATGGGCAGCCCTTTCTCTTTCCGAACAGCAGCACGGATGTACACCGACCACTACAGGCACAGAAAACGGACAAAAAAGTGCCGCAAAATGATTATCAATACATCAACTGAACAAATGCGTTCAAATGAGATTCGTGTCAACTTTGCATAATGTCACACCACTGTTTGTTTTCCCTTTTCTGTAACAAATGAGCAGAAAATGAGGACAACAGAAGATTTAAAGTGCAGAATTCGACAGAATATTTGAGTCACTGTCTAAACTTTCAAGACTTAGAGAGAATTCAGCTCTTTTCTTACGTTGTATCCATTTGAAGATATCTTACACTGTTTATGTACTCTCAAAAGAGACTTTGTTCTTGATAAAGTTCACCATGTTCTCTAACTCCATGACCTTGAGGTATGAATGTGTATTTGTGTCAGTCATAATGGTGGTGTGTGTGCCAGAGACAGTCTGGTTGGTTCGTGGCTCTTCAGGTGCAGGGTTACTCACAGGTTTTAAGGTGGGGCCTACCTTCCAGCTACCCGCTGCCAGGTTCTGTAGAGCCCCAGCCGCTCCCTCCAGTGTGTCCGGGTTTGAGCACTCAGACAGCAGAGTGAGGTATGGTTTTACTATGGACGGGTGCCACAGCATCTGTAGTCCCTTTGGAGGGTCACTGGAGTCTGGGAAAGGCCCAACACCATCCCACTGAAAGCAAAGACACAAGTGTCATTACACGAGACAAAATATCTGTAAGTGGTACTACTGAGAAAGACATCATGTACAGAAACCTTCCACAAATAAGGTACAAAATAGAGCTTGAACCAAAAAAGAATGGTCAAAGAACGAAGGTGCTCAACCAAAATATATATCAAAAATATTGATCATCAACTGTGATTTAGTTGTTTTATTTTCTATGCGGTTTTGCAACTCTGTTAGCAATATTTGACATGTCTGAATGAAGTTTTTAAATCAGATTTTTGTGATTTTATTTTATAGCAATAAATATTAAATAAGCAATAAATTGAATTAAAAAAAAGTAAATAAAAATAAAAATAAAACTTTATACCAGAAAGGGTAACAGGGTTTTTAATTTTACTAATGTCACATGGCAGGGACACACAAGTTTGGGACCATAGGTTGGGTAGTAATTACTGACAAGGGTAGTATTTCTCAAAAAACATGGTAAAAGAGTTGAGCACAAACAGTGGGACAAAGCTTAAAAATGATTTTTTTTGTAATTAAAACAAATTATGCTTATTAAAGGTGCAATGTGTAACATTTTTTAAGTATCTATTAACAGAAATGCAATATGACATCCATAACTATGTGTTCAGTGGTGTATAAAGAACTTACTTAATAAACCGTAATGTTTTTATTACCTTAGAATGAGGCATTTATATCTACATAGGCGCGGGAATCCCCTTCTATGAAGGTCGCCATATTGTGACGTCATGTTTCTACGTAGTTGACAGCGAACAAACAGCGTTACAGAGCGCGTTTCGTCACTACCTTGAAAGAGAAGCCGCAGGAAGCTAGAAGCTAGTCATAAACACCGTGAGTAGTGACTTTTCCCTTGTCAGTGGTGTAAATATGTAGTTGGATTGTTTCATGTAACTTAATTCTTCTCCCTCGCTGTGTTATGGCTTTGCTATGTGGGGATAAATGTGCTGTTTAAGTTCGTGAGACAGCTGATTAGTAGGCTACTCTTGTCATTGACCGTAAAACAGTTACAGGAATCACCAACCCGTCGATCTTGGAAGCATTTTAAGTCGATCGAGTTTCCAAAATCAGAGAAAAAAAGCCTATTGTGTGTAGTAAGTAGTGTCTAGGGGATGCGGAGGCGCGCGCGCTGTCATTTTCACGTCATTCACACAATCACGTCATTTTTGCCGCACGCACCTTTGGGCTCATGCGGACGCGTCGAGTTTAAACAAGGCTTAACGCTTTAACCAGCTCAGCCACAGTAACAGCTCATATTAGCCAGCTAAACTTTTACTACCCTGTTAGAAAAGATATATAGTTGCATAGTTTCATGTGGTTCTTCTCCCTCGCTGTATTATGGGTTTGCTATGTGGGGAGAATGTGCTGGTTATGTTCGTGAGGCTATATTATGTATTAAGACCCTTGATCCTCACCTGAAACTTTATCCATGATGTGGTTTATAATGGACTGTGGTACAGAAACTTGGTTTATGCTGGCTATTCTCTGCTGTCTCAGACGACGATATTTGTCCCGTTTTAGCCACCGTAGCTTCTTCGAAAGGGAGGGGAAAGCGGTGGGCTGAGCCCTTAGTGTAAACTCGCAACCGAACCGCTAGATGTCGCTAAAAGTCAAACACTGCACCTTTAAACAAGTTGACAATTTTTATCATAATTTAAAATAACTGTCTTCTATTTCAGTATATTTTTTAAATGTCTTTGATGATTTTATTTCAGTCTTTAGTGTCATGAATCTTCAGAAATCATTCTAATATGCCAATTTGTTGCTCATGAAACATTTCTTATTATTATCAATGTGTGCTGCTTAACATTTTTGTAGAAACTGTGATTATTATTTTTTCTGAATTCTGTGATGAATAGAAAGTCCAAAATAATGGCATTTATTTGAAATAGTAAAGACATTACAAAAGATTTCTGTCACTTTTGATCAATTTAATGAATAAAATTCATTTAAAAAAAAACAATTTTATTCTTGCTGAATAAAAGTATTCATTACTTTAAAGATATCGTACTGACCCCAAGCTTTTAAAGATTAGTGTATATTTTTACAACAATTAAAAACTGGATATCAGTTCAGCAAAAAATATGACACTGTTGTATGATTTTAATTGCTAGATACAGTGCAGATGGGACAGGACAAAAATCATAATTTAAATAGGATAGAGAGTGTTTCACAACAAAACGCATGGGATTTGTGCCAAAGTGTAATAGGACCCCAAATTGTACCCTATTCATGGAAAGTGCCAGATGCGATTTTATTTTTGTCCACTTTTATTTATAAAGACATCAGGCATCAGGAAATGATGGGGAGAAGAGGGGGAAACAGGACTGGGTAATGTTATGTGTCAGACTCAAACTTAATGTACTGTATATTGCATGCTTTAGCACAACAGCTCAATGTGACGTGACGAGATTAGATGATCATCACTGTCATGATCATGAGATCACTGTACGGAATGATTATACATATACTATAGTATTTACAAGGCACTCCAAGATAATTAAAGTGGCCACGGCAAAGGGAAATAACACTGTACTTTTGTTGTGTACTAGTGACATTTTTAAAGATAACGCTCACTAGTTGTTTAGGATACAGAGCAATTGAATAGACAGGGCAAACTGTCACACAGCCAGATGTGCATTTGCATCGTTGTTAAAGGAACAGATGACTCACAGACAATTAAGTTATTTAAAAGCCACAATGCAAAGTAATGCCACCTTTTACCTCGCTATTCATCCCATGCAAATGCTGAACAAACACTCCCGATGCCCCTATCTTCATCTGTTTTCAGAAACTAAATGAAATCAGCCTGGAAAATACGTAATTATCCACTGGAGTAGGACGAGTGTCGACGCAGGCGACCCGTACGCGAATGCTGCTAAGTGATGCTAATTGCCAGCAGCTGCAGGGATAAAAAACCCCAGCCCACCTGATCGTGGCTCTTCTTTTTCTTCTTCTTCTTGCCCCAGCAGCCGGAGCTCTCCGCATCCTTCCCGCTGGCATCGGTGCACAGAACCCCGTCCAGTTCCTCCGATCCCATCTGCTGCCCCTGAGACGTCTCTGCGGCCAACCTGTACGACAGGTTCCGCAGGATGCACACGCAGTTCTCGATGGTCTAGAAGGGGGCACGTTTGACGCGCAAAGAGTGTGGGAAAAAAGAACGTTTACAGATTAACACACCTCCAGAAGTTTGACTTTACTTGACACAGTAAATATCGAAATGTCTTTTTCTATTTGCAAGACAATCTGTCTTCTTTGTGAAGGCTGTGCATTATTGTGCCCTGAACTCTTAATAGTCTCTTGTTAGATTAGTCTTTTGGACAGACTCCAGTGGAGAACTGGGGAACTAATCCTATTGTGATGAGCAGTGAGGCAGGAAAAACAAAGAGGACGACTTTGATCTTGTAAATGCTTTCAGAGGGATTAAAGTGACACTCTTTTTTTCCTCATTCAAACTTGTTCTCACAAAGTATTATGCTAGTAAAAGAGACCCCTTGAAAATCAAACAAAACATGGACTCAAAATAGAGGGGTGTGTCGCTGCATTACTTTATCTGTATAATTACCATAAACCTCTCTTAATAGCAACTGCAGCTTGTTTTGTACAACATTGTTGGTGGTAAAAGCAATTAAAGGAGCTGAAACTAAAGCTAAACTGTCTGTCTGATACAATGTATATTGCCCCTGCTGGAAAAATAAATAAAAAACTACTGGGTTGGACCTGTTTAAAAGCATCCAAAATGGTTTTTAATTAGATTTAGGTGGGCTATGCTAGACTGTAAACTGCACAAGCTGGTTAAAACAGATATTTCTGCAGGCAAACCTGCTTGACCAGTGTAGTGATGTAGCTACATCATCATGGAAGATTTAAGGATGGGTTTATCTGAAATATTATACCACAATAAATATTAAACAGCATGTAAACAACTTATTTAAATCTGCGTCCTGTAGTCTCGATGAACGGCTGTTTAGAAAACGTCAGAAAAAATTATATATACTTTGTGATCAGAATTCCTGCCCATCCAAAAGGAAAAAAATCAGCCTTTATCACAGACATAAACTGTAATATAAAGTTCTGCTCAGTTAACTAGAGGACGAGTTAACTTATTAAGAGCCTTAAACAAAACTCAAAACTGAATTAATGGCTTAACTGAATATTGTTCAAAGATTCAATGCCATTAACTTGTAAAACTTTGGAAAATCCAATTATTTCATACTCAAAAGTGATCATTGTTTTACTCCGGTGCCTTGTTAATCTGTATTTCCAGGCAGACTGATAAAAAAACCCCTATGTGCACTCACTTCTAAAAGCTGCGGAAAGTCAGCTAATCAGAAATGTGTCATACTAACATTTCTGATTACCTATTCAATCTGACTTCTGACCTGTAATGCTGCCTGAATCATAATCATATACTGTTTGTTCGTTGGCCAGAGGAGAACTGGCCCCCCGAGCCCCGACTGAGCCTGGGTTTTATTCTCCATTCTGTCACCTGATTGAGTTTTGGTTCCTTGACACGGTTGCCTTTGGCTTTTGGCTTGCTTAGCTGGGAACTCTTAATATTCAACAATATTACTGATCTGCCTGCATTGACACCATTGTATGAGAACTGAACTGAGCTGGACGATGGCATCACTGTTGTCTCCAGAACGGCTGTATAGATAAATGAACTAAATTAATAACTTTTTTTTTTACAACAGAAATGAACCATCACTGAACTTACTTCAGCTGGACTATGACACTATTTTCTTCTAGATCTGCTGTACAGCCAAGACAAACTTTGTTGCCTTATTTTCCTGTTATCACTGTAAAGCTTCTTTGAAACAATATGTATTGTAAAAAGCACTGTATAATTAAAGACTTGACTTGACTAACAAGAAACTATGCTTCGAACCACAGGTTGAGAGCTGTAGATCCAACCACACAACTTGCAATGCTGAATGTTTGATGGAACTATGGTCTTGGGAAACACATAATCGCTGAACTATGTTGGTCACTTGCAACCATAATTGGCTTTTTGGAAATGCATCCCAGATTAGGGAAAGTGATTTCCAGTTTTGTGAGCAAAATTCATCAGATGGTGAGTGAACGGACTGTGGGTGGTCCGTGGGTGTGCCGTCTGAGACTAAGCTGGTCTAGACGGGCCTTTTTACAGCAGAACTGGCTTTTTTCACTGAGGAGTTTTTGCATATTCTGCACTGTGTTTTCAATCTCATCTAACATTTAACAGTGAAGAAGTACTCTAGTGCTGTGTTGAAAATGGTTGGGGAGCGAAAAACACTCAACTAAACCTGCTAGAACTCTCTGTGGTGCTCCGTTGAATGCATACAACTTTGGTAGAAAGGCAGGGGAGGGAAAGGTCAAACCTTGCTGTCGATCTCACTGGTGCCCAGGGCTGTCTGGATGACATAAAGCAGCGCATCAGTCAGACCCTCACACTCTCTCATCCTGCGGCGGGCTTCTTCTCCGGCTGAGCTCACATTCCTGTAGAGAACACAAGAATGCACACATGCATACAATGTCACACATTTTGTATTATCGACATCATTGATTATGTTTGGGCAGTTCTGAGCTTCAAGTCAATACTAAACCAACCAAAGTGGTCTTCAACATCAATGAGCTTTTCATGGAAATGAGTACTAACTCACTCACCCCCCCCCCCCCCTCCCCCTCCCCCCCCCCTCCCCCTCCCCCTCCCCCTCCCCCCAAATTTCTTTTCACACAGAACAATATTTGGATAGCAGTGTTTTAATACTTTCTGAGAAGTCAACTCGGTGATACGAGAAAGTATAACAAAGAAAAATTTCACATCAGCTTTATGAATCACCAGCAACATGCCTCAAAGCAACAAGCCTAGATTCCCAAGAGCTGGAGCCTCGGGAGACCTGAATCAGGAAGTCTGATCTGAGAAGGTGCTTGTGAGAAATCAAAGACCACATCCTGTCCTCTCTCTCTCTCTCTCTCTCTCCAAGAAGCTTCTAAGAGATCTGTGTGTCCCAGGCAGCTGCAGGTGGTGTGGCAACTGTGTCCAACCATTAAATATTCAATCAGACTTCTAGTTCCTCAGCCATCCATGAAGAGGATTAATTATCACGCTGGGCGTAGGGAGCTTAGTCCAGCCATCCAAGAGTGACTCAGCACTTTCTACAGTCCCGCTGCTTCAGACCCGAACGCTGATGCGCAGAGGGAGAGAGCATAGTATATGCATATAGTATGAGCTATAAATGTAAAGTGCTGTTAATGTCAAGCTGAGTTTTAAAGTAAAAAAAGTTTCTGCGCTCCGAAAGTACCTGCAGATTTTTTGTTGTTTCCAGTGAGCTCCTAATAGCTTAAGTGATATCAAAATGCACATTTCCATTTAGTAAGCAAAAAATAGAAAGCAGCTGGAAAATATGATATTAAGATAATCAACACAATATCAACAGCATTACGATGGAAAAGCTTAAACGTGCAAATAATGTGACCATCACATTGATAAAAATGACAAAGCCACAACATACAGCAGTCAAACATATTGACAGACTAGACAGGCTTTTTAAACCACACACTAGCCAGATAAATAAACATTTGACACTATGCCAAACGTTTTCCCATGCCTGTGTAGTGCCAAATCCCCCCCCATCCAATTCCTACCCCTTTGGACTCTAAGGAGTAGTTGTTTTTGCCTCATCAAAAAACCTGTCACATCATGACCATAATTTTGTTCTGGTTCATCAAAAGGCTTTTTTGTTAACCTTTTTCTTAATTGTGTAGAGTATATGCAGGCTAACCGGTTAGTTATCAAGCTATATTTAAAGGGAATCTAAAATAATAGGAAATGTAATTGGTTTGGGGGGAGGGGCAAAAGAGAATTGGACATGGGCAAGGTTTTGGCATGCCACCAGGTCCACAGTCACAGTGGACAGAATCCTATTGTTGAATCAGACCAATCCTGGCCAGAATATAATCCTAGTAAAGTGGCAGAACGAGCTCCATCACAAAATGGTTTTATGCACAGAGTCTGAGACCAGCCAAATTCATCAAAAGCAACTGAATCCATTTATTCAAATCAATTAACTTAAGTTATCAGTTGAAGGGCTCCAAGAAAAGCCTCAAAGCTAATTCACAAATGTGTTTGGTTGACACACAGAAGCACAGAGCCATTATCCAGATATGTACTTTATCCCACTGAGACCCCAATATACTGTGACACTTCTGAAGGCACACAAATTCATCATATCATGTCTTTTTGAAAGATGGAAATTCGGAGGCATTTACATAATATTTGCATAATTCTTACTTAAATAATCACCTAATAAAACAATGAATTGCTTCTAAGTGAAGATTAAGCCTCTTAAGAGCAAAAATAGAAACTGTGCCTGTATATAAATGAAAAACAATAGATTTTGAATAAATACTTAGATTGACATTAATTAGGAGCTGTACCTGAGGCACCCGGTAGCATTGCGGAGCACCTGTGAGGAATGCAGGTGCAGCTTGCGGTCGTCCTGATGGGGTGAGGTGTCCCAGCCCGAGTGAGGAATAATGACCGTGTTGGTCAGCACTGCCAGAGCATCCTGAATTATGGGCATCTTCAGTGCATCGCAAGAGGACAAGTTCCACAGCACACCTGTTTAGAAGAACAACATCTATGAACCCAAAAGCATTTCATCCAGTGGTGAAGTATACACCCACTATATTGATACAGAGATTACAATTTCCCTTCTTCACCTTGAGTTTATGTTGTGCACCAAAAAAAAGAATATATATATATATATATATATATATATATATATATATATATATATATATATATATATATATATATATATATATATATATATATATAATTAAAAGCACTGATTGCAGGAGGCTAAGAACATGCATTTGAATATTGCATGAGGTCTTGGTCAAGAGTCCTCAAGTGAAAACATTTCTGAAGTTTTACTAGTGTCCTCATCAGCTCTTGTTAGTATAAACGTTAGATTGTGTGGTCCAAGCCACATCACAATCAAGACTGAACTGTGAACTGCTAGAATGTAGAATATGGCTAACCTGTGTCTAATTTTGCATACTATTTGTCCTTTCACAAGACCCCTACTGCTCTGATTCAGTGTACAAGGGAGTGCTTTTGCAAGTTCTTCCTCCCTGCTGCTAGGGTATAAAACTTTGTCCCAACTAATTATATCTTATGTTATTTGTTAAATATCACAGTCTTCCAGTTATAATAATAAGAAATGTTTCTTGAGCAGCAAATCAGCATATTAGAATGATTTCTGCAGGATCATGTAACACTGAAGAAAAAGAAAATCAGCTTTGCCATCACAGGAATAAATTACAGTTTAAAATATATTAAAATAGAAAACAGTTATTTTGAATTGTAACAATATTTCAAAATATTTCAAATATCTTACTGTATTTTTGATCAAATAAATGCAGCTTTGGTGAGCATAAAATACTTCTTTAAATTTTTTTTTTTTTTTCGACCCATATCTTATCGACCCAAAACATTTGACCGGTAGTGTATGTTTGTTACAAAATGTTCACTACTATTTTGTAACACAAAGAGCTTATTATAAACACCAAGGAATAGCTGGTAGATATTGACATGCGGCTACACCATAGATGTGTCCTCATTCACATTCTATTACATACTATCCACCCAAATTGTACGCAAAAAATAGTATGCCAAATGGCAGTGTGCATCAATACTTTAAGTAACAATGCATTTTAATGAATTATTATAGTTTAAATATTATATAAATAAACTATAATTAAATATATTTCATTAAATATAATCACTATATTATTTAATTGCTATTTAATTAAATAAACGCTATTATTTTAATTCATTTAGGTAGATGCTAATACTCACAAGCAAGCTCAAACAGAAGGCAATGGGGGACTGTGGTATTAAAAAGTAATTTATGACATGCTAGTACATCCAAAGAGTCCAAATACATCTAATGATGTTGCTACATATTCAAAAGTATGTACTTTGGCATCCCCAGTGAAGTACATACTTTTATTACATTGTACAAGTATGCAGATTGGAATACTGCCTATGGATGTTTTCCTGCCATTTGTTTGGTACTCTCCATTGATGCGAGTTTGCCGTGTGGCATCCCCCAAAATGACTGAGTGTTTATGTGGGACACTATAATAGCTAGTATAGGACCAGACACATCTTCCTTACTAGTGTTTCTCAATCCAACTCCTGGAGGCTCCTTTTTGGGTGTCTCACTGCTGTTTAGGTCATTAAATCCAAGGGCTCAAAGTAACTTACTAACTACATTGTAACTACACCATCCAGATCTAAAAAGCATCTTTCACCATTGACAGCTCTTCAAAATTGCCCATGCATTCTCACAAAACAAACTTTTTGCAAGCAACACATATATCACTATCATTTTTCATTACATTTCATTTGAAAATCATGCTACAGTATACAAGTGAGCACTTTTGTAGGTCCTTCATCTGTATTGCTAGCATGGTGTACAGTTCTGCCCCAGCCAGTTTAAATGTATCTTATCTTATAATATCCAATCTTGTTTGTTAAACATCAAAGACTTTTTTTTAATGCAGCCTCCTGTCGAACCTAGAGTTCTGAGCTCAAATAGGCCCTAGCAGTCGCGACAGGCCCGTGTGTGTCTGGCTTCAGCAATTGGCAGTCGACCGGGGTCTGCGTAGGTGTAGCTTGAGGGGGGTTGTTACGGACTGACAAGAGGACTTTTTGTCTTCTGTTCAGAACCGCTCTCTAACTTAAACATTAATTGTCTTTGAAAAAGCACAAATGGCTTCTCCCCTCTTTCCAAATGTTTCATCTAAAGTGATTACATACAGAGACATAGAGCTGTAATAAGCAAGTGCCACTCAGCTTCGTTCTTCCTATATTCAATTTGAAACATTTTAGATGTTTCTCCGAGCTCTGGATTCAGGAGGATGGAGATTTTTCAATTGATGGACATTTAGATTGCTCACCAGGCTGAAACACAAGGGAGCCGCAACGTCTTATTGAAGCGTCTCCCAACAATTCAGCATCTGACATTTATGAAATGCCTCAAAAAGCAAATTGCCGCCCAATTTTTCCGACATCTCTCAGGAACTGTCTCTGTAACGGGAATATTTCTATAGGGGATTTAGAAGAGCCTTTGTCTTTTGTCAATGCGTCAAGACTCATTATACACAATTCCCTAAAGAGGCTATGCCAAGCACTGGTAGTATCCTTAATTATTATAGCCCTAACCAATTAGGAGATCATTAACAAATCATTTAATGGGTAGTGGGGTCCACAGTAACAAGCGGATGATTCTAGGAGAGCTGATTAAAAAATTGGGCCCAATTATAAGGAAGCCAGAGATAGTGACAGAAAGTTCATATGCAATGTATTTGTATGCTTGCTGAACATGCAAAAAAAGGTGGTCAGGAAATAAAGATAGAGCGCATTCAAAGATAGGGCCAGACACCACGTCCTAATCAGGTGCCACACAAAAAAGACAGGATGTTTTGTTCACGCCCACTGTGAAATCTCATTGGTCCAATATCTCTTTTCATATAACTGCAAAATATACTTGAAATGTAGTGCCCTTCAAGTGGAGCTGGAAATATAGCAATTACAATTTTTGAGCATATGAATTACCAAACGGAGTCGTATTTAAAGGTGGGAAACTTGCAATTCTAGATGATACCCAAGTTGTCAAGTTGTGATGTTGGAAGAGGTGTGTCAATTTGAAGTATAGTGGAAACTCTTATCTATATACAGACTATAATATAATATAATATAATATAATATAATATAATATAATATAATATAATATAATATAATATAATATAATATAATATAATATAATATAATATAATATAATATAATATAATATAATATAATATAATATAATATAATATAATATAATATAATATAATATAATATAATATAATGAAATGTGCAGTGCTGGGGGTGCTCCAGGACAGGTTTGAAAACCCCAGGTTTAGGTGACTTCCGTGTTATGTTTCCAATTTGAATGTGTGGCATGTCGTAATGGAGAATGCCCGACTCAAAGGTACAAGTTTCCCAGGTGCACTTAAAGGCAGCATAAGTTCTGCAGCATTTCCTCTTTCAGTGTGGACAAACAAATTACAAATTGCTTCTCGCCAGTATCCCGTCACATCAAAGAACAAAGGAGAAGGAATGAGAAATAAATGTGCTTAATGTGTCCTGAGCACCTGTGAGCAGCTCTCTGATCTCCACGTCTGTCGTCTTGCGCAGGAGTCGCACGAGTGCAGGGATCCCACCGCAGTTCTTCAGGGCGATCTTGTTGTCGTCATTGGCCTTGCCATAAACCAGGTTCCTAAGTGCGCCGCAGGCACTCCTGTGCACGTCAGTCATACGGTGATCCAACAAGTCCACCAGCAGCTGAATCCCACCCTGCCTTCGTATCTGATACACAGAGCCACACAAATATTAAACACATTGTAGACATTTTTATAAAAGTCTGCTTATCTAGTATATCTAGCCACCAGTCTGCTTATCTTAATCAACAAGACTTCTTTTGTCAACCATCTACATATACATGTACAGTATTGTTTAAAAATTTGGTGTCAGTAAGATTAAAAAAATATAATAATAATAATAATAATAATACTTTTATGCAGCAATGGTGCATTAAATTGATCAAAATAAATGACGGTTTCCACAATTTTTTAATTTTTTTTAAAGTTTATAACATTTATTCAATTAACATCATTTTTTAACATAACAGGTTTTGGAGGAAGGCAGCATGTCACACAACCTGTCTAAGTTGGCATCTGCCTAGTTTGGCTAGTTTCCACCAAGTGATGGATAAAGCGTTTTCTCCTTGTTAAAAGTTCATAAGCCTATATTTTGCCATCCTAATTATGGGTTATAGTTGGCTGTATATCAGTTTTTGGTAACACGTTATAATAAGTATACAGTAATAAAGTACTTACAAATCATTTGCAAACAATTATAGTAAATTCATAGTTAATATATTGTCGTCTTTACATTGCTAATATATAAATAGGCTATATACAAATACTGAGTTCATTATTCATTGTCACTGTAATTAACCAAATTATTGTGTGTGTGTGTGTGTGCTTAATGTATTTGTAAACAATTTAAGGAACACTGAATATGAATGCAATTAATTTCTAATAAAGGTTGGTTTAAAGCACTTAATGACATTTTCCCATTTACCATGACCTGTTCCTTTACTACGAGCTAATTAAACAATAATAATTGTGTTAACGTGATAATGAATGAAGAACTCACTATTTGTTAATAGCCTATTAATATATGAACAATGTAGAGACTATCATTTATTAACTATGAATTAACTATAAACTAATAGTTTGTTAATGATTTGTAATTACTTTATTAATGTATACTTATTATAAAGTCTATTACGCCAAGGTCATGGGTTCGATTCCCTGGGAAAGCAAGAACTGAAAAGAATGTAAATTGTGTACCTTGAAATGCAATGTAAGTCGCTTTGGATAAAAGCGTCTGCCAAATGCATAAATGTAAATGTAAAGTGTTTTTGGGTCACCAGTTGAAAACCACTGAGCTAGAATGACACTAACCAACATAAACCAGCCTGGACCAGCATGGAAATTCAAATGAAGCTGAAATCCCCACTGCAAGAATTTATTAGTCCATAGCCTATGCAAAACATGCAGAATGTTTTTGATGTTGGTATGCAGGAGTTACCTCTGACTTGATCTTGTTGTCTCCAAAGCACAAGTGCTGGAGGTAGGCGGCAGCGTTGGACTGTACCGATGGAAACTGGTGCTGCAGCATTTGGATTACCTCCGGCAGTTCAGGATCCCTCCAGCCAAATTCCCTGAAGAGGCAAATATACACACAAAAGTGAACATGGAGAAACAATGCTTTCACATAAAGAAACAATATAACATTAAAAAGCATGTTTGTGAAGGTGTCTATCATAAAATATAGCAGCATATTTCTCTTCTATGGTGTGTAAACATATATTTTTTTAATTCTCCTCTCTGGAGTCTCTGAATGTTTCTCTTCACAATTAATCAAACCGAATTCAACGTACACCAACTTTCTGCCAACATCTGTGATCTACCTCTGTTACTTTTCTCCTTTGAAAATAGTTGAGTAATACGAATTAACATAGAAACGAATGCCACTAAACAATGGAAACAAATTAACCTCAAAATATGATGTATGACAGTGCTTGTAAGGAGAAAAAAAAAATAGAAAAAAATAATGCATGAGAAACAAAGGTTTTACAGCTACCACACATCAGCAATCATTTTTTGAATTCTGATTTTCATGCTTTCTGCAGAAGAACGTCAGATCATGGGTAATCTATACAGACAATAGCATTCTCCCAGAAATGTCGGCTTTATTGCGGGTATCAGTGACAGCTGTGCTATTGCCTGGAGCAGTCCTAAGGTGCCTGGAGCCCCATAGGAGAATATCTGCATTTCCTAAACCCCCGAGTCTGTCGACTCTGAATATCAGTCAACACCATGATTTAGGTAAGCAGCAAAAACAAATTCAACATACCATCCTGATGTCTGCTGTGAAAAAAACATGAATACCATGTGTTTGACATTCATGTCTTTTTCTCACTATCCTTCTCAGACCAGCAAATTCTGTCTCTATGCTACTAAAATTTCAGAGGCTGTCAAACAAGAGGAATCGATTCAAATGATACGATCCTGTATGAAAGAGATGGGGCGGTAATGATAGAAAGAGAACAAAAGGAAGGATGGAAGAGAAGAGAGGAAAAACAAGACATTGGTGGAGGCAGAGAGAAAATGCAATGCTGCCAAAAAGCAACATGATGGACAAACATTTCTGGGTAAGAGGCACCATGGGAAACATCTATTGTAGCATGTCCTATTTCTCTCTAGCACCACCAGCAAACCTGAGAGGGCAATTGCGGTCATTAAAAGAAGAATGGGATCCATTGGGAAAAGGTCAAAAAGGAGATAATCCTGAAAGATTGGCACTTTGTTTTCTCTCACTGTATCTTTGTTGCTTTTTATCATTGTTTAACCTTGAGAAATGAAGGCATGTTTAAATCACATCTCACTAAGCTCCTATGTTGAGGGCTTTATTCACAAAAATAGGGAACCAAGTACATTACAGAGAGTTGGAATTGGCCAACAGCCCACAAACTCTCCAATGCATTAGATGCAATGACAGCAAGCTGTCATTAATCACAGGAGCGGGCTAATTGATCATGTTTGCGTAAATCAGTAATTAGAGCGTAACACAAAAATGGCTGTAAAATGGATGAAGTTTATATGGTAATCAATGTGGCGCTGTCACACAAGTCAACTCTGGGTTAATTAGTGTAAGTACATTTTTTGACAGAGGCTCTAAAAAGACTGTTAATTAACTAGTGCACTAAAGTGAAATTATTCACTCAATGTTTACCCCATGTAATTATAGACGGCAATAAAGCAAAAGGCATGGCCCCAATGCGTTACCAGCTGAGTTCTTCAAGAAGTGACATTTGTGTTTAGCAAAACAAAAAACTAAAGCTAGCTGCTTTAACAGTAAGCACCTAAAGATAATAATGATAATATTGATAACACAATCAATAACATAATCCAACCATAAAAACCAAGCACCTTGTGAATGTGGTAGCAGTTTAATAAACAATAAGTTACTGCTGTGTAACTTGCATATTTTTGCTTCATCATTTAAAATAGTTCCAAGTGAAGCCACTGCAGAATTATATGTTGCGTCTCTGATGAACACATTTTAACTCAAAGTTTTGAAAGAATTGGAACAAAACAAAAACACTAAAATGCATTTAGTGGGGAAGTCCATTTTTGGCTTTAAAGTCAGCTGCGGCCAGTTATTTTAGCGGTTCCAAAATAGTCTGTTATTCTGCTTGCTGTTGCACACAGGTATTTGTTATCATAATATTTGAATTATTATTGTAATCATTAACACACTAGTTTGTACAGCAAGTAGTTTTACTGTTTACTCCACTTCTAGTTATTCTTCTAGTTGTTTACCTATAGTGGCTAATGAATTGTAAATTCACAGAAAATAGCTTACTTGCGCATTGAAAATTAAGGTGGATACACAGTCTGGTACCTGTCTTTTTCCCGATTTCCAACTGCGAGCGAGTTGGTTGTGTGATTTTTTTATTAACGTAGAAAAGGAATGGGGAAATATCTTTGGTACCAAGGCCATTGAAGAAGTGGGCAGTCGCAGTTTTGCTCTACACCCATAGATAATGCAGCATCACAGCATGAAGGAATGCATACATAAGTGATGAGGACTAAACGCGTAGTAATGATTTAAATGTGCATAGCAAGGCACACAGATTTATTAGATATTTGCTGCTCTGGAAACAGACTATATCATTTATGATTAAAATCAGAATAGTAATGGCACCCTACTCGTTCTCGTTCGCATCATTAAACATGAATCATTCCCCAGCAGGCCAGTCCTACAGGGACACGCACAGAGTGCAAGCTGCTGCAGCCTGGTGACACTCCCTCCTCTCTGTCAGGTCTGTCACTGGCAGCCAAATCCTTAACCTCGCCATTATGACAATTAATGCCTGGGTGAAGCCACTCCCCCCACCACAGCTCCAGTCACTGTGACAGGCCGCTGAAGCAGGGATGAACCTACCATTAATCACCAAACATGAATAATCAAACGTCTGCTCAGAGCCCAGGCCTGCAAAAAAACGTCATCCCTTGCCAAAGCCGGAGAAGGATTTGGCTGGGAAGTGACTCATTCACGCTACAGAGAACAGAGAGCTCTTTCGTTATGTGCGCTCTCAGACTTGTGATTTCACCCCTCATGGTCTGATATGGAGAGATGCTGTGGGTGGGTGGCTGGTCTACTAATAAACCGTTTGTCCCTTAAACTTCACCTGCAGGATCCACCCCCTACAATTAAACTAAGCATTGACCTTCATTCTAACAGTCAGAAACGAAAGAGGCTCTGTTCCAAATACCTAGTGTGCTGCCTATGTAGACAGTATTTTAAGGTATGCACACAGACTTTAACAAAAATCAGGAGAATTAACATGTGTCCTTCTAGATAGGATGGGAAACTCATTGCTCAGTGAAAAAAATGAAACCAAAATGGTGGACGAGAAATTCATTCAATACTGAAAAGTATAGATAAAAATTACAAATGTATTTATTTTACCAAATATGTGTGCATGTGATGTATTTTAGGCTTATTAGAGTATTATCCAGTTAGCTTAACAAAATGCAAATATAGAGTGCTGCATATATGAGTTCTAAAACCCAGAAACAAGTAGACATTTTTCCCAAAAGGTTTTTTGAATGGATTTTTGGTTAAATGCCTGAATTAAAGTCTGTGGTGAACACAATCTCAAGATATGTACACATTTTCTTCAACTACATGAAATACACAAGAATTAACCCACTTTTTTTGAAAATTCACCTTTTCACTAGTCCGCTTTTACAGCCTTGTCATGTTTACTCACACTCATGCAAATGATTCTAAATCAGACTTTCCAACTTGAAGATTTTAAATATAGATTGAAATAATTGTCGGAAGCATAGTAATGGTGACATTAAAGCCATGCCAGCTGTGGTGTAGATATCTTATAGCTTCACTTTAGCTTTTTACTTCTGGCAATTGTATTTAGGCTTCAAAATTCCTAAAAGTTGTGTTCATTTGAGAAGATTACCTTACAAAACATGTAAGAAGCCACAGAGCTTATTTTCTGCAATAACACAAAAATCCAATGGATATATCCTATTGGGAAGCAAGATGATGCTGGGTTGGCTTACAAAATGATGTCTATTAAACTCTATTGAGATCAACTTAGTCTTCTGTGGGAGGCTCTATTTGTGTGGTGCACAGAGTTGCTGCCTATAGAGAGTGTTCGAATTTGTGAGGTTCTATGACTGTTAGGATGCTGCCTATATTTGCAGTGAGAAATGGGTCTTGTTGTCCATATAAAAGATTTGCAAGACATGCATCCTGAAAATCCTTCAGCAGAGCTTGATGTAACATTTGAGCACTCACTGGATTGAGACAAACTCTCCTGTTTGTGACAGGTCTTTGTTTGAGCTTTTGTTCTGGTTCAGTCAGGTGAGCTTATCTTTCATCCCCATAGCTGAAACATTAACACCACAAAACCCAGCTTCATGCTGCAGCGCAAAAGCTGAAATAACCCACGGGGCCAGAGGAAGAAGAGGATAAGCCCCTTGTGGACCACTGAATGTTTCGTGGCATAAAAAACAGCCAAATAAAAGCATTATAAATTATGCATTCTAGATGCTTGACTGAACATGATTATTAGAAATAGAGCGAATGGATTGATATTTTGAAAGAGATGCAGCAGAGGTAAATCTAATATAGTCTTTATGTGATGTACACGGATCCTTTTCAAAAAGTAAATGTCAGTTTATTGGTAAGCAGTTAATGTGGGGCAATCACCAGCATACTATGATTGGATTTATTCTAAATTATTTCTTCATAATTATTAAAATCTTTATTATAATATATGAATATATATATAAAACACTGCAAGATAGTAACAACTCAGTCACAAATAACAATGTTTATATATGATCGTCAACAGTATGCTTTTCGTTATATGTCAATATAGAAATTCTGGCCTATACAATAAGACAATAATTATTTTCATATTATGGGCAATAACTGATAAATGGCTAATATAATAAAATGTATATTACTTTGTAGTATAAAACAACTAAAATAAATAGTTTGAATGTTGTATCTCAACATTATAAGCCGCTTTCCGACCAAGTAGTTACAGGAACTTAGTTATAGGAACTGTCCACTTCTAAACAGTTCTAAGAACTACTCTCCCCCAAACTCGGTTTTGCTGTT